ATTCAGACCCCTTGACTTTTTCCATATTTTGTGACGTTACAGCCTTTATTCTAAAATGTATTAAATAATATTTTTACCTCATCAATCTACACACAATACCCCATAATGACAAAGCGAATACAGGTTTAGACATTATTGCAAATGTATTAAAAATAAAAAACAGATACCTTATTTACAAAAGTATTCAGACCCTCGAAATTTAGCTCAGGTGCATCCTGTTTCCATTGATCATCCTTGAGATATTTCTACAACTTGATTGGAGTCCACCTGTGGTAAATTCAATTGATTGGACATGATTTGGAAAGGCACACACCTGTCTAGAAAAAGTCCCACAGTTGACAGTGCATGTCAGAGCAAACACTAAGCCATGAGGTCGAAGGAGTTGTCCGTAGAGCTCCAAGACAGGATTGTGTCGAGAAACAGATCTGGGGAAGGGTACCAAAACATTTCTGCAGCATTGAAGGTCCCCAATAACACATTGGCCTCCATCATTCTTAAATACAAGACGTTTGGAACAACCAAAACTTCCTAGAACTGTCCGCCCGGCCAAACTGAGCAATCAGGGGAGAAGGGCCTTGGTCAGGGAGGTGACCAAGAACCCGATGGTCACTCTGACAGAGCTCCAGAGTTCCTCTGTGGAGATGGGAGAACCTTCCAGAAGGACAACCATCTCTGCAGCACTCCACCAATCAGGCCTTTATGGTAGAGTGGCCAGACGGAAGCCACTCCTCAGTAAATGGCACGACAGCCCACTTGCAGTTTGCCAAAAGGCACCTACAGGACTCTCAGACCATAAGAAACAAGATTCTCTGGTCTGATGAAACCAAGATTGAACACTTTGGCCTGAACGCCAAGCATCACGTCTAGAGGAAACCTGGCACCATCCCTACGGTGAAGCAAGGTGGTGGCAGCATCATGCTGTGGGGATGTTTTTCAGCGGCAGGGACTGGGAGACTAGTCAGGATCGAGGGAAAGATGAACGTAGCAAAGTAAAGAGATCCTTGATGAAAACCTGCTCCAGAGCGCTCAGGACCTCACACTGGGGCGAAGGTTCACCTTACAGCAGGACAACAACCCTAAGCACACAGCCAAGACAACGCAGGAGTGGCTTCGGGACAAGTCTCTGAATGTCCTTGAGTGGCACAGCCAGAGGCCAGACTTGAAGCCGATTGAACATCTCTGGAAAGACCGGAAAATAGCTGTGCAGCGACGCTCCCAATCCAACCTGACAGAGCTTGAGAGGATCTGCAGAGAAGAATGGGAGAAACTCCCCAAATACAGGTGTGCCATGTTTGTAGCATAATACCTAAGAAGACTCGAGGCTGTAATCGCTGCCAAAGGTGCTTCAACAAAGGACTGAGTGAAGGGTCTGAATACTTATGTAAATGTAATATTTCAGTTTCTTATACATTTGCAAAAATGTCAAAAATTCTGTTTTTTCTTTGTCGTTATGGGGTATTGTGTGTAGATGAGGGGGGGGGGGGAACGATTTAATCAATTTTAGAATAAGACTTTAACGTAACAAAGTGGAAAACGTCAAGGGGTCTGAATACTTTCCGAATGCACTGAGCGAGAAGAGTACAGCATTAATATCCCTGGAACTAACCATCTAATTTACTAGTCGCTTGGACCTGACCTGACACCTTGTATTCAAGTGTATGGTGTAGATCAACAAATGTTAGATGTACATAACATACAGTATAATTACATAACATAATCTAGCCTAATTGGGGTCAAAGGAAGTTTGGTATTTCTTTTTTTTATTGTTAATACATTTGTCATATTTTCTAAAAACCTGTTTTCTCTTTGTCATTATGGGGTATTGTGTGTAGATTGATGAGGGAGAAGGCTGTAATGTAACAAAATGTGGAAAAGGTCAAGGGGTCTGAATACTTTCCAAATGCACTGTAGTTTGACTATATGAAACAGTGACTGATTTACTTTTTTCTATTCTTCTTTAAGGCACTGCATCATATACCAGCAGAACCAACACCAGAGACAGACACCAGACTGTTGTGGCATCATTTGTAAGTTTTCTTATTAGCTGCAGAGCATGTGTAAGACTCAAATGGAACTGTTTTGAACACAGACAGCACTGGAGGGCAAAGCCATTGTGTTCAGCCTCAATGGAGGTCTATGCATGACATTTTAGTCATTTACAGGTGCAATTCGGGTTAAGTGCCTTGCTCAAGGTCAACAGATTTTTCACCTAGTCGGCTTGGGTATTCGAACCAGCAACTTTTCAGTTACAGGCCCAACGCTCTTAACTGCTAGGCTACCTGCCCCCCAAGCATCTCAATCCAGCAGACACAGTCCATGGTCCGGGTGTTGATTTCACACCTCATCGAGAGGTTTGGAGAAACGTATTATATAGTAGTTACATCATTATGGTCCTCATGACGGGAATTGTGACTTTGTGATTATTTTGTAAAGATTGTACCTTTTGATTGTTGTCTTTTCTGTTTATCCCTCTTTTCTTTCAGCCCAACATCTGAGACAAAGACTTGCCTCAAGGATTCAGAGGGTAATGGCTGTAAGTTAGGTTTTAATTTTGAAACTCACTGCATTATCTGACATGCATGAGCTCTGCTATTTCCACCAAAATGGAGCCCTTGAAAGGTGTAATACTTTTTGGTTGGTTTTACCAACATTTTACCAAGCCATATTGACCACAAAGGGTCTTTAAAAAAATAAGACTTATCTTCAAGGATGTTTGGTACACCCAAAGATGACGCCACAGTCCTTCTACTGGCTTCTTTGAGGAACGCCTCAGGAACCTGAGAAAGCGGCATCGGAGACCAGGATGGCTCAACTCTACAGCTGCAGCCGCCGAAGATGACAGACCAAGCAGGAGTCCTGTCTTGCCTGGTAAATGTTTCAGTATATGGAGTGTGTGTATACACACACACACACAAGATATTAGTACAGACCAGATCGTCTGTATTAATTATGTTATTTGTTGTTACTGAGCGGTTTAATTGATTCAAATAGACGTGTAATGATATTAGGCCACAGATGGTCTACAGTTTCACACATCAGCTACAACTTTGTTGATATACACAACTCACTATATTTAGGGAAAGAGGGATTTCCCAAGTGAAATGTTACTTGACATTAAATACTTTTTGCCCATAACAGAGTCATATGTCCCATAAAGAAGACAGCCATCCAGAGGGCTTAGTGGATACGTGAAAACGGGTCCAAGACCATGGAGGAAATTCCAATCACAGTTGCTGGGTCATAGTAAGCACCCCAGCAACAGGGTTAAAGTCAAATCTGTTTCCATACATGATTTAAAGTCTACTCATCAGGGTTTGGGTCAATTCCATTTAAATTCCAGTCAATTCAGAAAGTAAACCCAATTATAAATTGTCCTCATTGAAAAGCATTGACGATAATTTGAATTTTAGTGTGCTTCCTGAATTGTCTGGAATTGAAATTGACCCCAACCCTGATACTCATACTTGTCAGTAGGCAGAATTCAATGTATGATTTAATTATAAGCATATTCTCTAATAGACAGGTCGGAACCAACATGGCTGAATATCTCTAGCGGGCGGCAAAGAGACCCGACCCATCTGGAGGTGCAATTGTAGAGGGACCTCGGACTGGTGCTAAAGTATGCACCGGACAGACTGGGGAGTGGATGACGGCCACGAAAATTAGTTGTTTTGTGTTCATTTTGTAATTATATCTTCTCCCCCCCAGTTAATAAATACATGTTATTTGACAAACTGTTTTTCTTTACTGTGATTTTTTTAATGCTGGTACAAAATAAATGTTCAACAGTTGTGAATGGACCCTAGGATAATGTTGTTATTTTAAATTAGGCAATTTCAACTTTGTAGATCATCTCACCATTGTCATAGTAGATGGATATTGTGATAGTGGTTTAAGGTACTATACATATGGATTGATTTGCAGTGAACATTGTTGCTGTGAGATGCATGAGCACAGTATTACATGAGTAATATTGGGAGGTCATAAACTGGTCATAATTTGGTTGGATATGAGTGGAGGACGTCAGCAATAAGATGTCTTATTCAGGTCGGATTCTAGTTGCATATGAAAGTTTAGACATCTCCTAAAATATGTAATATTGACTTTAAAAAAATGTCTAAAAACCTTTCATAATCAATCAAAATCTGACCGTCAAATGAGCATTGAGCCCCCAAAAAATGTCAAATATGTAAAAAAAAAAATCCCCAGTAAGCAATGTATGTAAAGACTGGAAAAATATTTATTTAAATTTACTTACAGAATGAGTGACATTGCTTTCCCTCTTTTTGTTTGATTCGCTCACCCCCCCCCCCCCCAGAAATAGAAAATAAATATTACCCTGCAATTGTGTGTTCTCCCTGATAGATTGTCTTAGTAACAGCAAAGTCCGCCTTACACAATGTTATCTTATCTAATACCCCTTACATCCCTCTGGACAGGGGTAAGGAATGGGACTTGTAACATTTCCTCATGGGGGAAAGAAGGGGGGGTGGGGGTGGAAATAGCTGGTTCACATAAAAGATACATGAAATCACATCATGAAGTCATCATACAATCAATTCAGCTGCAAATTGTTAGATGTTAAAAACAGCAAATTGATCCTACTGCTACACACACACAAAAAGGAAAATAAGGAGCCGATTCTGGAAAAGAGGGACACAATTGGAAATTGAATGTCAATGATAAAGCTCCCGTGTGCTCACAAAATATACACAAATACAAATTTAAGCGTTAGTAATCCATTTGTTAGCTCAATAAAAAGACAATGAAAAACAGCCAACCTCTTTCACACCCTTTCATTGTCTTTTAAAATGGGACAGTTCCCATAGCCACCACTCGCGACATGTTTGTTAAAACAGAGTATAAAATAAAAACTGAGGAGGATTTCAGGTCTGAAATGAAAGGTGTTCCCGGTTAACCTCGCATTGTCCATGTGGCAGAGCTGAGCCGCTCGCTGCCGTTAAAAGTCCTGTACGCTGGCTGGCTTCTCTTCCTCCTGGTTATCCTGTTTTGACACAGTACAGGTCCTTTAACGTCTTGAGTTCCTCAATGAGAGTCTTGTTCTGGTTCTCCAGCACCGCCACGCGGTTCTCCAGACATTTGACGTATTGCTTCTTTTTCCGGCGACACTCACGGGCCGCTTCCCTGCCAGGGAGAAACACAGAAAACTGCTTTAGAGGATTACATTTAAAGAGCGACTGAACTCATCGATTCTCCATGTGTTTTTCTGTTGCTCATTAAAAAAAACAAGATTTCAGTCTTAGTGGTGTGGTTCGATGTGGGTGTGTTATGTTCGCTATATCATATCCTTGCAGTAATGTTGTTTGTTCCTATTCGGTCACAATCCCAAACAGGCCACCACACCGGATGGCTTAACAACCGCGTGACACAGCATGGCAACGTGTACGAGATTGATCAGGGAATTCCATGCTTTGAGCATCCTGCTTTCTAGATGTTGCCATCTTTGATAAAAGTAGAATTTGTGATGCTAACGTTAGCTCACAAGAATGTGAATGTTTTAGTTGGAAAAAACCCAAGCCTTATATAAAAGAACAACTCTCGTTGTTTCAACATAACATTTGCGACAATGTCTGAGGCGCTGTGTGCTAATGGTTACTTTGGTTGTCTGTAAATAAGTGGGCGGGTTGTAGATTGAGTCTGGTGACTATCCAATTGTGCTGTAGTAGATCTGGTACGTCTGCACTACAGCACACCAGGCAGCTGTGATCCAGATGATTTGATTACTGCCAGCCGTCATTACTGTGCCAGGCAGCGGTACTGTGTGGGCAGGATTGAAATCAAAACCCAACCCTCATGTAAGTTGTGACATCTTCAGTTACACAAATCTCACAAAACACTTTTGGAATATACTGACTTTATGACCAAAATTATTCAACTTTAGAACATTTTGGTGCTGGAATAAATGTTTCTGACTAATATCGATGACACATAGGCCTTTTCCAACCAGAGAAGTTGGTTATTGTGTTCAGTTGCCCTTTAAGGTTCACACACACACAAACAGACAAAGGGACTAACTGTGCACTGTCACAACACATCCTTATACACACACACAGTAACACCACATGCTTATCCCCACACACACACCTGTTCTTGGCGAGGCGGATCTCTCTCTTCATGGTGGGGTCGCCACTCTTCTGCTCAGATATTCCTACAGGGGAAGTCATGACCACGGTCTGTTGCGCTGTGGGCGCCGTGCGGATCTGGTACGTCTGCATCTCTCCTCCTGCATCTGAGGGGGATGGGGCCAATCAAAACAGTAGATGAGGGCATCTCCTCTTTATAATCTCAACACATTACAATGTGGACCGCAAGCTGGGACCAGTGCATATTTACACACCTTCAGAGAAACTTTAGTGACAACACAAAATAAAGGGGGGAGGGGGGGTGGATTAGCAGGCACTCCTGGGTACTACTCCTTGTGGTATCGTCTCGAAGCTTACCGTGAGTCATGAAGCCATACTCACTCTGTACGACCACCTGGTTGCTGGGCACAAGTATCTGCTGTCCGTCGGGCGTCTGAGCGTACTGTAGGATGGTGGTGCCCTGTTGTTGGCCTGAGTTGGTCATGGTAAGAGTCTGTAACCCCTGGAGGCCCTCTGACCCCGGGCTGGCCAGCTGGATGGCGCCATTAGGGGCGATGGTAACTACAGACAATAAACACACAGGACATTAGGGACAAAGGTAACTACTAGGTATGATGGGCACCTATATGAAGAAAAAAAAAATCGATATCAGTTGCATTTTTTCGATTCGATATCCATTTTTATAAAATAAATTGCAACTGTGTGAAGGTTCACTTTTCTGCTCGCGTCCATGGCTGACTGAGTTGAAAGCCTGTGAAAAGTTGAGGGATTTGTGCATGGAGGGAACAGTCATGTAGCATTTTTTACATTATAGTGTGAATTTTCATATCAATATCAAATTGAATTATCGACATTAGTGCCCACCACTACTAACTACAGACAGTAAACACACTGGAAGGCACTGTTTGAAGAGAGCTTGCAAGTAGGCATTTCATTGTACAATACGCTGTGTCCTGTGCATATGCCAAATAAATGACCACCTTCCAAATCAAAGTTTAACAGGAGTATTTCATCCATCAACATACAGTCAACACACAGACATTATTGAGTATGATCGGGAGCACACACACCATGACCACACCTCGGGAGCCATTTTGCACTCCCTTTCCCCTGCGGTGCGGTATATTTCCACAAAACTGTAGTAGTGTAACCGGTGTGAAATGGCTAGCTAGTTAGCGGTGCGCGCTAGTAGCGTTTCAATCGGGTGATGTCACTCGCTCGGAAACCTTGAAGTAGTTGTTTCCGTTGCTCTGCAAAGGCTGCGGCTTTTGTGGAGCGATGGGTAACAGTGCTTTGAGGGTGACTGTTGTCGATGTGTGCAGAGGGTCCCTGGTTCAAGCCCAGGTAGGCGCGAGGAGAAGGACGGAAGCAAAAATGTTACAGTAGCCCATGATTGATGATCCCTTACTTACTCAACAAGTGCCTCCAATTCTAACAATATCCAACTGTATAATCTATTTATAGTGACAAAATGGTGCACTGGTAGGACGGTGTTGTGTGGTTGTTTTAGTGCTATGTAGTAGGTCAACCCTTACTGTACTGGCCGCTACTGGTCTGGTAGATTGTCTGGGTGTTGGGCATTGTCACTGAAGTCATGCCAGAGGAAGCAGGGTTTTCATCCTCTCCCTCATTCCGTGACGCCACCTCCTCAGCAGACAGCTCATTGAGGATCTTCCTACAGACCACCGGGAAGACGCAGGAGATTACTCATACAATAATCCATTACCAAAATCCTTACACTAAAACAACACTCTATGCTACAGAACCAAACTAATGAGACTGGAAAATGAATGGAGAATAAGTGTCTCATATAGTAAATATCAAAAACATAATAACATCATTGTAGGAGTACTGAAGTAGCTCATCCTAGGCAAATGTTTTCAATTGGTCCTGATGGCGGCAAAGTGGGTCCACAGTTTTAACCCCAGCATTGCTGCTTGCAGCTTCAAATTTGGACAGTTTTTCAGTCTGCCATGAATCATCATAATCCATACACAGGTAAGTCTACAGTTAAAATGCAAAGATCGCTACAGTGCATTCGGAAAGTATTCAGACCCCTTGACTTTTTCCACATTTTGTTACGTTACAACCTTATTCTAAAGTTGATTAAATTGTTATTTTACCTCAATCTACACACAATACCCCATAATGACAAAGCAAAAACAGGTTTAGAAATGTTTGCAAATGTATCACAAAAAAAATGAAATATGACATTTACATAAGTATTCAGACCCTTTACTCAGTACTTTGTTGAAACACCTTTAGCAGCGATTACAGCCTCAAGTCTTCTTGGGTATGACGCTACAAGCTTGCAACACCTGTATTTGGGGAGTATCTCTGCAGATCCTCTCAAGCTTTGTCAGGTTGGATGGGGAGCGTCGCTGCACAGCTATTTTCAGGTCTCTCCAGAGAAGTTCGATCGGGTTCAAGTCCGGGCTCTGGCTGGGCCACTCAAGGACATTTAGAGACTTCTCAAAAGCCACTCCTGCGCTGTCTTGGCTGTGTGCTTAGGGTCATTGTCCTGCTGGAAGGTGAACCTTCGCCCCAATCTGAGGTCCTGAGTGCTCTGGAGCAGGTTTTCATCAAGGATCTCTCTGTACTTTGCTCTGTTCATCTTTCCCTAGATCCTGACTAGTCTCCCAGTTCCTGCCGCTGAAAAACATCCCCACAGCATGATGCTGCCACCACCATGCTTCACCGCAGGGATGGTGCCAGGTTTCCTCCAGATGTGATGCTTGGCATTCAGGCCAAAGAGTTCAATCTTGGTTTCATCAGACCAGAATAATCTTGTTTCTCATGGTCTGAGAGTCCTTTAGGTGCCTTTTGGCAAACTCCAAGCGGGCTGTCATGTGCCATTTACTGAGGAGTGGCTTCCGTCTGGCCACTCTACCATAACGGCCTAATTGGTGGAGTGCTGCAGAGATGGTTGTCCTTCTGGAAGGTTCTCCCATCTCCACAGAGGAACTCTGGAGCTCTGTCAGAGTGACCATCGGGTTCTTGGTCAACTCCCTGACCAAGGCCCTTCTCCCAGATTGCTCAGTTTGGCCGGGCGGCCAGCTCTAGGAAGAGTCTTGGTGGTTCCAAACTTCTACCATTTAAGAATGATGGAGGCCACTGTGTTCTTGGGGACCTTCAATGCTGCAGACATTTTTGGTACCCTTCCCCAGATCTGTGCCTCGACACAATCCTGTCTTGGAGCTCTACGGACAATTCCTTCGACCTCATGGCTTGGTTTTTGCTCTGACATGCACTGTCAACTGTGGGACCTTATATAGACAGGTGTGTGCCTTTACAAATCATGGATGATCAATGGTAACAGGATGCACCTGAGCTCAATTTCGAGTCTCATACTTATGTAAATAAGGTCTCTTTTTTTATTTTTAATACATTTGCAAAAATGACTAAAAACCTGTTTTCGCTTTGTCATTATGGGGTATTGTGTGTAGATTGATGAGGATTATATATTTTTTTATCAATTTCAGAATAAGGCTGTAACGTAACAAAATGTGGAAAAAGTCAATGGGGTCTGAATACTTTCCAAATGCACTCTACATTTGCTATTGTTAGCTAGCTAGCCAGTTGCATACAGGTAACGTTACAGCCAGCTAGCTCGCTGAGCTGGCCAGTTGCATTCTGCTCTTAATGTTGATTGCTGATGTGCCAAGCCATGCATGACATAATGATAATCTTTGTCATGTTTGTCAGTCTGTCATGTTTACCTAGCTAGCTACCGAAAATAGCCACTGTGGTGCGAATGCTAATCAAACAGCAAGCTAATCAAACTCCATGTTAAGTGATAGGGACATGCTAAGTTCGCTAGCTAGCCACGATGAAATGGCTAAATAGCTAGCTATCGACATTGGATTTGTGGGGATCTAGATGTGATGACTAGCTTAGAAAGAATGCATTAATGATTAAACATAAAAGGGTTGTACTGTACTGATATAAATTGTTTCACATAACAAGCTGTGATTCATGTGAGGAACGTTAGGGGGTAGGATGAGATAAGACTTGTATTTCTCACAGACACAGGGACCAGCCTGTGCGCCAACGATTGGCTGAGTAAGTCTAAACCACGCTCAGTCTCTACTCTGATTGGCCAGCAGGGAGCGGGAACTATCTCTGTCAGAGTATTTTAAGAAGAACTCATAACAATGGCTTAGTTCTCTGAGTGCCCTGCGTGGTATTTCAGTGGACCCGTATATACGAACATCATATTTACCATTGAAGTGTTTTGCATTAATTAAAATACTAGTCTATTTTAGAAGACGTGTATTGACCTCTTTTGTTCCTAATACCAGATTTGAATTGACGCAACTTAACTTCATGTTCAACTAGCTGGTAATTATGAAGTTAAATGTTTGCTAAATCCATTTAGTTATCTTGTAGTGACCGCATTGCAATTGTTTGGCTGGAAGCAGGTTGAGTGTACAGGGCATTTTAGTACAGCTGTAGCAGTCAACAGGCAATAACAAGCTATAGGAGATGAATGAATTCATGTTTTCACTTATTTTTTTGGATATTTTCTTTCAGTATAAACCTGCTCTCTGGAGATGAACGAGGGCGAACAAGAAACACTTCAGGTATTTTGTCTTTGTACTTATCGCTTGAACTTGGGGACAATTAATGTTATAGCTTGCATGCAATGTTTTGTCTATTTTTGCCTGCTTTCCTCCTTTACAGCTTCAATTGTCTGGAGCCTGGAGTTGTTGTGGCCAAGGAGCTTTCACTCAGATGGCACCAGGTTTCAGCTGCTGTTCCACGTTGATGTCCTTCCTCCCAGAGATGTGCAAGCATCCCCCAGCAAGCATGTATTTTTGAGAAGATCAGGACTTTTGCAATGAAAAGGCTATGGACATTACATGTCTTGCTCCAAAGCGCAGGACAGAAATATGCTCTCAGGCTAGATTCCTTTGTTCATACCATAACCTGAACCAAAGTTACTCAAAGGATCTTATGATATAGGCCTAGGTCTAGATAGTGTTTTTACCTTTGTGTTTGTGTGTTAAGAATGTCCTAATTGTTGGCTACTGCCTTTAGCACTTAATAAATAATAAATAAAAATAATTGGTCATTTAGCAGACGCTCTTATCCAGAGCGACTTACAGGAGCAATTAGGGTTAAGTGCCTTGCTCAAGGGCACATCGACAGATTTTTCACCTAGTCGGCTCGGGGATTAGAACCAGCGACCTTTCGGTTACTGGCACAACGCTCTTAACCACTAAGCTACCTGCCGCCCCTAATTAATAAATTAATAAAGTATTTTAATCTTGAAATCTTTGTTTTTTAAGCACTACCTCACTGCTTTACTTTAGCACATGGCCATAGTCACAAGAGATGGGTGGGTCTAAAAGCCGATTCATCTGTATTGGCCATACAGCATTTACTGCGATGCGGCCTCTGCAGAAGTCAGGGCATATATACACTTCTTGCGCGTCGCAGAACAGTGCCCGTTTTCCCAAAAGCACCTTAAGGCTAAGTTAATCTTAGAACCATAGGATCCCATGATTCTAGCAATTAACTTAGCCTAAGATGCATTTGAGAAACTGGGTCCTGAGCTGTTGTCAAGGAAGTGAGTGTGTTTCTACAGGATGTACCGCCCCCACATACAGTTAACCAATTATGTCAATGTGGAGCTATACGGAGCCCTCCATTGTTAAAATATTTGGGAGGTGTGCGGCAATTGTACGGAGCTTGATTTGACCTCCGCAAACCTTCAGAGGCGCTGCAATTGCATCACACCATCCGTACGGAGCCTACGGACCGCATTGCCAGATTAAGCATATTATCGTCTTTAAGGCTGAAGGCATCCGCATGCTTCCCATCCGAAACCGTTCAGAAAAGTTTGTGTAAATATTAAGACAACATTTTGTGATGTTTTTGTTCGTTTTGGTCTTAGGCATGTTTTTGGGGAGGCTGTTCTTGCACACATTTTTCTCGAGGCAAGCTGAATTTCGGAAGCCGAAGTGTACGCCCCTTCTGTGATTGGTCAACAGTAGGGATTCTTCAATTAAATGTTTGTCATTTAACGAGAGACAAATCATTTTTCATGCAAATGTTTTCACTTTAGAAATACAGCACCAAACATCTTAATGTAAAATTGAGTGACTAAGATTCTCTGCAAAAAGTCAAAATTAATGACAGATTTCTTGAGTTATTTTAGTTAATTCTGACTATTTTGAGGCAAACGGTACTATTGCCGCTTTCTCGTTTTTCAAGTGAAGGTATTTTAAGGGAGGATGCGAGCACACGTAAATACTGTGTGAACGATACTAAATGGGCATAAACAAAGAGCAGCACTGTAGCTGTTCAATGTGAAAGGTTATCTTTATTATACAACAATAGGCAATTTAATACTGTAAATGGCTTGCCTAATGGGGTAACTTGGTGTGATAATGTTCAGAGAATCCATTTAGGCAATTTGGTAAAAGTATTTGTTTTCTAAATATACAGTATGTTTCCTAAGGATTAATGTAGAGCAAGTGTGAAAATCGCAGTAAAATGTTTGAATGCCCTTTTCTCCTAAATGGGAATATATATTTATCAGCTTTTAAAGCAGCATTACTTCCCCATGTTTCCTCCAACTACAGTGTATGATATACCATTTTGAAGCTCTGAGTCTGTACTTTTATCCAATGTAAAAAGTACCATTTAAAATTTTGGAACATAACACCAAAAATAGATGGGGGGGGGGCAGATCAGGTGTTAAATGAGGTGAAAAGGAGACTGGAGTGCCACTAACATCCCCAGTCCATCACCAGCATTGACCTCTGCAGTCTGCACACACTTCTTTCCACCACTACATGGACAGGTTAAGATGGCGTTTGACACAACAGTGCGGTGGCCGCTACCTGTAGGAGGGCCGTCTGGCCAGTATCTCTCTGGTCTTCTGGGCAGAGGCTCCACTGTCTGAGGAGTCCTGGGAGTCATCACTGTCTGAGCCCTGGCCCTGTGAAGTAGAGGAGAAGAGAAGAGATGCCGGTACGTGAGAAGTTACTCATACACCATGTTTACTTAAAGGTCCTGCACAGTCAAAATCATGTTTTTCATGATATTTGGATGAAACCAGATCATGAAAAATGAGTTTTGCTGGTACATTGATAAAGTTTGATCATAAAGTTATTGGTCAACTTCCCCATGTCAAACACTTGAATTCAGAAGGCGGGATTATTTAGGGGATTGCGATACCACAAAATCTCATTTGAATACACCAATGGTAACGTCTTTTCTCTTACCTAATTTAAATAAGTACTGCCTTGTAACCAACATCGCAGAGGGCTTGGTTGCAGAGGGGTGTGGTTTACATAGCTAGATAGCTAATCTACTGGTGCCAAAATTTGACTGCAACGTGTCAGCAAATATAATTAAAGGTTTCCCATATTCATCTAAGACAAAGATACTTATAGGTTTCCGCTTTCAGCATGGAGGGGAACGGTTGCCCAAATCTCAGACGCAGTTGTCATGTACATGAAGAGAGATGCCAAACGTAAGATTTATAACTTGTTGACATCATTGATAGTCAATATATATGAACATTGCCTGGCAGTCAATAAATAAATACACAAAAGTATGTGGACACCCCTTCAAAATTAGTGGATTCCACTATTTCAGCCACACCCGTTGCTGACAGGTGTATAAAATCGAGCTGCCCCGGTCAACTGTAAGTGCTGATATTGTTAAGTGGAAATGTCTAGGAGCAACAACGGCTCAGCCGTGAAGTGGTAAGCCACACAAGCTCACAGAACAGGACCGCCGAGTGCTGAAGCGTGCAAAAATAGTCTGTCCTCGGTTGCAACACTCACTACCGAGTTTCAAACTGCCTCTGGAAGCAACGCCAGCACAATAACTGTTTGTCAGAAGCTTCATGAAATGGGTTTCCATGGCCGAGCAGCCGCACAAAAGCCTAAGATCACCATGCGCAATGCCAAGCATCGGCTGGAGTGATGTAAAGCTCGCCGCCAATGGACTCTGGAGAAGTAGAAACACGTTCGCTGGAGTGATTAATCACGCTTCACCATCTGGCCGTCCAATGGATTAATCTGGGTTTGGCAGATGCCAGGACAACACTACCTGCCCCAATACATAGTGCCAACTGTAAAGTTTGGTGGAAGAGGTATAATGGTCTGGGGCTGTTTTTCATGGTTCGGGCTAGGCCCCTTAGTTCCAGTGAAGGGAAATCTTAACGCTACAGCATACAAATGACGCACGCGCACAGAAAGTATTCAGACCCCTTGACTTTTTCCACTTTGTTACGTTAGAGCCTTATTCTAAAATTTATTAAAATTGTTCCCCCCCCCCCCCCCCCCCCCCCTCAAGTCTGATTGGGTATGACGCTACAATCTTGACACACCTGTATTTGGGGAGTTTCTCCCATTCTTCTCTGCATATCATCTGAACCTCTCTCAGGTTGGATGGGGAGCATCACTGCACAGGATCTCTGTACTTTGCTCCGTTCATCTTTCCCTCGATCCTGACTAGTCTCCCAGTCCCTGCCGCAGAAAAACATCCCCACAGCATGATGCTGCCACCACCATCCTTCATCGTAGGGATGGGGCCAGGTTTCCTCCAGACGTGACGCTTGGCATTCAGGCCAAAGAGGTCAATCTTGGTTTCATCAGACCAGAGTATCTTGTTTCTCATGGTCTGAGAGTCCTTTAGGTTCCTTTTTGGCAAACTCCAAGCGGGCTGTATTTGTATTTATTAAGGATCCCCATTAGCTGCTGCCGACTCTTCCTGGGGTCCTGCAACATTAAGGCAGTTATGTAGTCATGGCTCTATTTAGTACTGTGTGCCTCCCATAGTCCGTTCTGGACTTGGGGACTGTGAAGAGACCTCTGATGGCATGTCTTGTGCGGTATGCATGGGTGTCTGAGCTGTGTGCCAGTATTCCAAACCAACAGCTCGGTACATTCAGCTCGTCAACACCTCTCACAAAAACAAGTAGTGGTGAAGTCAATCTCTCTTCCACTCTGGAGCCAGGAGAGACTGACATGCATGTTAGCTCACCTTGTACTTTTAAGGGCCAGCCGTGCTGCCCTGTTCTGAGCCAACTGCAATTTTCCCAAGTCCCTCTTTGTGGCACCTGACCACACTACTGAACAGTAGTCTAGGTGCCTGTAGGACTTTCCTTGTTGATAGTGTTGTTAAGAAGGCAGAGCAGCGCTTAATTATGGACATACTTTTCCCCATCTTAGCTACTGTTGTATCAATATGCTTTGACCATGACAGTCTACAATCCAGGGTTACTCCAAGCAGTTTAGTCACCTCAACTGGCTCAATTTCCACATTATTCATTACGAGATGTAGTTGAGGTTTAGGGTTTAGTGAATGATTTGACCCAAATACAATGCTTTTAGTTTTGGAAATATTCAGGACCAACTTATTCCTTGCCACCCATTCCGAAACTAACTGCAACTCTTTGTTAAGTGTTGCAGTTATTTCAGTTGCTGTAGTAGCTGACGTGTATAGTGTTGAGTCATCCGCATACATAGAGACACTGACTTTACTCAAAGCCAGTGGCATGTCGTTAGTAAAGATGGAAAAAAGCAAGGGGCCTAGACAGCTGCCCTGGGGAATTCCTGATTCTACCTCGATTATGTTTGAGAGGATTCCATTAAAGAACCCCCTCTGTGTTCTGTTAGACAAGTAACACTTTATCCACATTATAGCAGGGGGTGTAAAGCCATAACACATACGTTTTTCCAGCAGCAGACTGTGATCGATAATGTCAAAAGCTGCACTGAAGTCTAACAAAACAGCCCCCACAATCTTTTTATCATACATTTCTCTCAGCCAATCAGTCATTTGTGTAAGTGCTGTGCTTGTTGAATGTCCTTTTCTATAAGCATGCTGAAAGTTTGTCAATTTGTTTACAGTAAAATAGCATTGTATCTGGTCAAACAGATAAATGACATTACTAGTGGTCCTAGCTGGTAAAAGCTAACCGCGATGTGGAATCCATGCAAAAACATGTTCGGTATTTATGTTTAACAAAGATTGGTTATGTTTTTTGTTAAAATAACAAACCGAGTGTTTCCAGCATACAGTGTTCAGCAGCGCACTCTGATGACGTCAGTTGTAGTCAGGCGATGGGATAGCTATAGTGGCTGGAGGTAAAAAGTGTGTAGGATAGGTTTTCATGCATGCCGTTGCAATAGTTGTACAACTCAAGGGGTCAATGCATGCATCTTTGATTACCTCTTCTCTGTCATGTGCCTTTTACTGAGGAGTGGCTTCAGTCTGGCCACTCGACCATAAAGGCCTGATTGGTGGAGTGCTGCAAAGATGGTTGACCTTCTGTACGGTTCTCCCATCTCCAAAGAGGAACTCTGGAGCTCTATCAGAGTGACCATGGGGTTCTTGGTCACCTCCCTGACCAAGGCCCTTCTCCCCCGATTGCTCTGTATGGCCGGGCGGCCAGTTCTAGGAAGAGTCTTGGTTGTTCCAAACTTCTTCCATTTAAGAATGATGGAGGCCATTGTGTTCTTGGGGACCTTCGATGCTGCAGAAATTTTTTGGCACCCTTCCCCAGATCTGTGCCTCGACACAATCCTGTCTCGGAGCTCTATGGACAATTCCTTCGACCTCATTGCTTGGTCTTTGCTCTTACATGCACGGTCAACTGTGGGACCTTACATAGGTGTGCCTTTCCAAATCATGTCCAAATCAATTGAATATACCACAGGTGGACTCCAATCAAGTAGTAGAAACAGCTCAAGGATGATCAATGGAAACAAGATGCACTGTAGCTCAATTTCGAGTCTCATAGCAAAGGGTCTGAATACTTATGTAAATGAGGTATTCATTTTTTTAATTTGTAATAGATTTGCAAAAATGTCTAAACCTGTTTTCGCTTGGTCATTATGGGGTATATTGTGTAGATTGATGGTTAAAAAAAAGTAATTGTATCCATTTTAGAATAAGGCTGTAACATAACATGGAAAAAGTCAAGGGGTCTGAATACTTTCTGAAAGCACTGTGTGTGATAAATATATAAATACAGTACCAGTCAGAAGTTTGGACACACCTACTCATTCCAGGGTTTTTCTTTATTTTTACTATTTTCTACATTCTAGAATAATAGTGAAGACATCAAAACTATGAAATGACACCTATGGAATCATGTAGTAACCCAAAAACAGTTATAATATATTTTAGATTCTTCAAAGTAGCCACCCTTTCTCTTGATGACAGCTTTGCACACTTGGCATTCTCTCAACCAGCTTCATGAGGAATGCTTTTCCAACAGTATTGAAGGAGTTCCTACATATGCTTAGCACTTGTTGGCTGCTTTTCCTTCACTCTGTGGTCCAACTCATCCCAAACAGTCTCAAATTGGGTTGTCTGGTGATTGTGGAGGCCAGGTCATCTGATGCAGCACTCCATTACTCTCCTTCTTGGTCAAATAGCCCTTACACAGCCTGGAGGTGTGTTTTGGGTCATTGTCCTGTTGGAAAACAAATGATAGTCCCACTAAGCGCAAACCAGATGGGATGGTGTATCGCTGCAGAATACCATGGTAGCCATGCTGGTTAAGTATGCCTTGAATTCTAAATAAATCACAGACAGTGTCACCAGCAAAGCACCCCCACACCACCTCCTCCATGCTTCACGGCGGGAACCACACATGCAGAGATCATCCGTTCACCTACTCTGCGTCTCACAAAGACACGGCGGTTGGAACCAAAGGACAGATTTCCACCGGTCTAATATCCATTGCTCGTGTTTCTTGGCCCAAGCAAGTCTCTTCTTCTTATTGGTGTCCTTTAGTAGTGGTTTCTTTGCAGCATTTCAACCATGAAGGCCTGATTCACGCAGTCTCCTCTGAACAGTTGATGTTGAGATGTGCCTGTTACTTGAACTCTGTGAAGCATTTATTTGGCCTGCAATTTCTGAGGCTGGTAACTCTAATGAACTTGTCCTCTGCAGCAGAGGTAACTCTGGGTCTTCCATTCCTGTGGCGGTCCTCATGAGAGCCAGTTTCATCATAGCGCTTGATGGTTTTTGCGACTGCACTTGAAGAAATTTCAAAAGTTCTTGAAATTTTCCAGATTGACTGACCTTCATGTCTTAAAGTAATGATGGGCTGTCGTTTCTCTTTGCTTATTTGAGCTGTTCTTGCCATAATATGGACTTGGTCTTTTACCAAATAGGGCTATGTTCTGTATACACCTACCTTGTCACAACACAATTGATTGGCTCAAACGCATTAAGGAAAGAAATTCCACAAATTAACTTTTAACAAGGCACACCTGTTAATTGAAATGCATTCCAGGTGACAACCTCATGAAGCTGGTTGAGAGAATGCCAAGAGTGTGCAAAACTGTCATCAAGGCAAAGGGTGGCTATTTGAAGAACAGCAAATATATTTTGATTTGTTTAACTATTTTTTGGTTACTACATGATTCCATATGTGTTATTTCATAGTTTTGATGTCTTCACTATTATTCTACAATATAGAAAATAGTAAAAATAAAGAGAAACCCTGGAATGAGTAGGTGTGTCCAAACTTCTGACTGGTAGTGTATATGGGGGATTGGAAATTATGCAGACAACTACATTGTTAAAAGCCACCCCCCTAAAAAAAATAAAAGAACAAACTAGTTTTCCGTTTGGAGTATATGGTTTGTTGCAAAATGTTTTGCAACTGAATCTGTGTAATGAATACACCCCTAATTATTTAAAAAAAATTTGCTAACATATGATGGGGGTCCCTGGGTCGCCGGTTTGTCTGGGCGGGGGTCGCTGGGCAAGAAAAGGTTGAAGACCCCCTGATATATTTAATGAAAAGTACCCAGACCTCACCCTGTAAAGTTTCAACTGAAATTGTCGAAGATGAACTAGCTAGCATCATAAACAGCGCTGACAATTCCATTTGGACTAGCTAGCAAAATTATAAAGCCAACACTGTCTATATTGATGCTGTTACAATAACAGTTGGATAAAAATATATTTTGTGAAACCATGACGTGTGACAGGATTGGATGTTGCATGCAATTTCAATGTTGTTTGAGTTGCTTTGTGTATCAGCAAGTTTGCTTGAGATAATCTCACTGCAACACTGCATCCATGTTGCTTGACAGGCATTTTCAAAGAACCGTCAGTCAAGGTGAGCCACTCAGCCTACTAGCTCCCTCTCCACTCGGTATGTCTTTTCAGGCTTACTGGTAGTTTTTTGGTCTTGACATAAGTTTTTTATTTTTTTATCTAAAATTTCAGCATTTTTATCAGGAAGAAATATTATGGGTGATGTTTTAGTCACTCAAAAGGCTATTTTACGTCGGAATCAGAATGACTGTTCGGACCTTAACTTAAATCAGAATGTGGGGGTTCTACAGTGTACAAGATAGATATACCTGCCCATCAATCACACATTTACACCAGTAATACCATTTGGCAAGATAACGTAGGCTAAAGGCTAACAAAGGTTAAAGTCTGCTAGAAGAACAGGGGACACCTCCATGTCCTCCGGAGGCACTGTAGTCCAGGGCCAGTATTCATAAAGCATCTCAGAGTAGGGGTGCTGATCTAGAATGAGGTCCCCAATGTGTATGTCATCTTATTCATTACGATCTTTAAGGCAAAACTGATCCTAGATCAGCAGCACTCCTACTCAGATGCTTTGTGAATATGGGCTCAAGCCTAGTTCCTGGTTGTCGAGGAGCACCTCTTACCTGAACAGTCTGCAAATGTGGGGACTGGATGACCGACGACTGGGCCGACTGGATCACCCCCTGCACCTGGAACTGACCTCCAGGGAGCTGGACCACAGTCACAGGAGAGCCCCCCAGAGACATCTGCAAACACAGTCAGATTAGATGATGACACAGGAGTGAATTTCAATCCTGTTCTGTCCCATCCTTTGGATTTTGTTTTCGTGTCCTGTCCAAGATACTCAGCCAGGTGACGCAGATGCAAAGTAAACAGCTGTAGTGGGTACATTTCCGCAACTACTAAGAGCTTTGAAGTGCGAGGCTCTCCTTCTCCTCTGTTTGTAGCACTGTAAAGCGCACCCGTGCACATACTCTGTGTGACTATGTGAGAGCGAAGTCTTGCTGCTCTTGCTGAGACTACAGTGCCTTGCAAAAGTATTCATCCCCTTGGCATTTTTCCTATTTTGTTGCATTACAACCTGTAATTTAAATGGATTTTTATTTGGATTTCATGTAATGGACATACACAAAATAGTCCAAATTGGTGAAGTGAAATGAAAAAAAATCTAAGAAATAAATAACGGAAAAGTGGTGCGTGCATATGTATTCACCCCCTTTACTATGAAGCCCCTAAATAAGATCTGGTGCAACCAATTACCTTCAGAAGTCACATAATTAGTTAAATAAAGTCCACCTGTGTGCAATCTAAGTGTCACATGATCTGTCACATGATCTCAGTATATATACACACACACACACCTGTTCTGAAAGGTCCCAGAGTCTGCAACACCACTAAGCAAGGGGCACCACCAAGCAAGCGGCGCCATGAAGACCAAGGAGCTCTCCAAACAGGTCAGAGACAAAGTTGTAGAGAAGTACTGATCAGGGTTGGGTTATAAAAAAAATATCCAAAACTTTGAACATCCCACAGAGCACCATTAAATCCATTATTAAAAAATGGAAAGAATGTGGCACCACAACAAACCTGCCAAGAGAGGGCCGCCCATCAAAACTCATGGACCAGGCAAGGAGGGCATTAATCAGAGGCAACAAAGAGACCAAAGATAACCCTGATGGAGCTGCAAAGCTCCACAGCGGATATTGGAGTATCTGTCCATAGGACCACTTTAAGCCGTACACTCCACAGAGCTGGGCTTTACGGAAGAGTGGCCAGAAAAAAGCCATTGCTTAAAGAAACAAATTAAGCAAACACATTTGGTGTTCGCCAAAAGGCATGTGGGAGACTCCCCAAACATATGGAAGAAGGTACTCTGGTCAGATGAGACTAAAATTGAGCTTTTTGGCCATCAATAAAAAAACGTTAATGTTTGGCGCAAACCCAACACCTCTCATCACCCCGAGAACACCATCCCCACAGTGAAGCATGGTGGTGGCAGCATCATGCTGTGGGGATGTTTTTCCATCGGCAGGGACTGGGAAACTGGTCAGAATTGAAGGAATGATGGATGGCGCTAAATACAGGGAAATTCTTGAGGGAAACCGGTTTCAGTCTTCCAGAGATTTGAGACTGGGACGGAGGTTCACCTTCCAGCAGGACAATGACCCTAAGCATACTGCTAAAGCAACACTTGAGTGGTTTAAGGGGAAACATTTAAATGTCTTGGAATGGCCTTGTCAAAGCCCAGACCTCAATCCAATTGAAAATCTGTGGTATGACTTAAAGATAGCTGTACACCAGCGGAACCCATCCAACTTGAAGGAGCTGGAGCAGTTTTGCCTTGAAGAATGGGCAAAAATCAGTGGCTAGCTGTGCCAAGCTTATAGAGACATACCCCAAGAGACTTGCAGCTGTAATTGCTGCAAATAGTGGCTCTACAAAGTATTGGGGGGGGGGGGTCTCTAGTTTTCCTCCATTTCTGCTCGGCTGCCCGGAGCCCTGTTCTGTGAGCTCGCAATGAATCGTCAAGCCACGGAGCAGGAGGGGAGGACCGAGCCGGCCGGGAGGATAGGGGACATAGAGTCAAAAGATTCAGAGAGGGAGTAGAGGAGGCAGAATCAGGAGATTGGAGGGAGAAGGATTTCACAACAAGTCAAATGTCTTCCACAGATCTGACTTCCCCTTTCCCTCCTGAGCAACCAGTAAAAATGTGCCTGTTTCGAGTTTCTTTTTCACGTCCTCCGCATCCATTTTGCTGTCACGTGTTACTGTGTTCGGAGTTTGTTATAACCAATTTATTGATGTGATTATGATAGGCTACAGGTCCTACATGGTCACATGCATGCAATGCTTACATGTTTCACGTAAAGAGAGCAATGGTTGAAGGAATGTTTTTCCTTAAACAAATTAGGGATTTCGGTAACAGAACTTTTCAGTCAGAAACAAGTAAGAAACTAAATAGCTGAAATGATGTTGCGCAATAAACACCTGCTGTGCTGTGGTGCCTTTTCGCTGCAGTAGGGAGGAGAGCGAGACAACGTGCGCCAGTCACACAGGCACTCGCTGTCATTTTTTTTTTTTACACAGTGTGACCATCAGGCTCTTTGAGTCATTTGTGCGTCTAAATTATTTAATCAAACAATGTGCTTAAAGCATCAGACTCAAGCTCAGTGCATATGTACATAGGGTGGGTCTGTCTATACAGTGAGGGAAAAAAGTATTTGATCCCCCTGCTGATTTTGTACGTTTGCCCACTGACAAAGAAATGATCAGTCTATAATTTTAATGGTAGGTTTATTTGAACAGTGAGAGACAGAATAACACCAACAAAATCCAGAAAAACGCATGTCAAAAATGTTATAAATTGATTTGCATTTTAATGAGGGAAATAAGTATTTGACCCCCTCTCAATCAGAAAGATTTCTGGCTTCCAGGTGTCTTTTATACAGGTAACGAGTTGATATTAGGAGCACACTCTTAAAGGGAGTGCTCCTAATCTCAGCTTGTTACCTGTATAAAAGACACCTGTCCACAGAAGCAATCAATCAATCAGATTCCAAACTTCACCATGGCCAAGACCAAAGAGCTCTCCAAGGATGTCAGGGACAAGATTGTAGACCTACACAAGGCTGGAATGGGCTACAAGACCATCGCCAAGCAGCTTGGTGAGAAGGTGACAACATTTGGTGCGATTATTCGCAAATGGAAGAAACACAAAATAACTGTCAATCTCCCTCGGCCTGGGGCTCCATGCAAGATCTCACCTCGTGTTGCAATGATCATGAGAACGGTGAGGAATCAGCCCAGAACTACACGAGAGGATCTTGTCAATGATCTCAAGGCAGCTGGGACCATAGTCACCAAGAAAACAATTGGTAACACACGACGCCGTGAAGGACTGAAATCCTGCAGCGCCCGCAAGTTCCCCCTGCTCAAGAAAGCACATATACAGGCCCGTCTGAAGTTTGCCAATGAACATCTGAATGATTCAGAGGAGAACTGGGTGAATGTGTTGTGGTCAGATGAGACCAAAATCGAGCTCTTTGGCATCAACTCAACTCACCGTGTTTGGAGGAGGAGGAATGCTTCCTATGACCCCAAGAACACCATCCCCACCGTCAAACATAGAGGTGGAAACATTATGCTTTGGGGGTGTTTTTCTGCTAAGGGGACAGGACAACTTCACCGCAGCAAAGGGACGATGGACGGGGCCATGTACCGTCAAATCTTGGGTGAGAACCTCCTTCCCTCAGCCAGGGCATTGAAAATGTGTCGTGGATGGGTATTCCAGCATGACAATGACCCAAAACACACAGCCAAGGCAACAAAGGAGTGGCTCCAGAAGAAGCACATTACGGTCCTGGAGTGGCCTAGCCAGTCTCCAGACCTTAATCCCATAGAAAATCTGTGGAGGGAGCTGAAGGTTCGAGTTGCCAAACGTCAGCCTCGAAACCTTAATGACTTGGAGAAGATCTGCAAAGAGGAGTGGGACAAAATCCCTCCTGAGATGTGTGCAAACCTGGTGGTCAACTATAAGAAACATCTGACCTCTGATTGCCAACAAGGGTTTTGCCACCAAGTACTAAGTCATGTTTTGCAGAGGGGTCAAATACTTATTTCCCTCATTAAAATGCAAATCAATTTATAACATTTTTGACATGCGTTTTTCTGGATTGTGTTGTTGTTATTCTGTCTCTCACTGTTCAAATTAACCTACCATTAAAATTATAGACTGATCATGTCTTTGTCAGTGGGCAAACGTACAAAATCAGCAGGGGATCAAATACTTTTTTCCCTCACTGTAGATGGAAAAATACGTTTAAACATTTCGACCAATCGACTAGTCGAAAGAACAGGACGACTCTGGCCATGATTTTTATTTTATTTACTTGTCTGGGACAGCCCTAGTATTTTGTGTTTAGAAAACTATAGTTGCACGCCCCTAATCACCCTACTGAAGCAAAAAGAATACCAAGACTTTCAATATAAAACACAGGTGAAATGGTCTGCATTTGAAAATGCAGATTTCTGAAAGGTAATGAGACCCCTGGTATCACGATTCTATATCACGATTCTGAACTTTACAGTCCTATTGATCAAAACCATCAATTTGGCCTCTGCACACCTACGGAGGCGCCGCAATTGCGTCACACCCTGCATACGGATCCTCCGACCACATTTTCGGATCAAGCATAAATTGGCTTTAACAGTCGTTCAAGTTATTGCTAGCTAACCAAATGACACCTGTATCTCTAGCTGTGTATAGCCACCGAAAAACAATGAGGGGAAAAAGTCAGTCACTCACCCACTCCTCCAAATACATGACATGCTCCTAGCAGCTAGCTAACGTTAGGCGCCGTGTTTTTAACTTGCTACATAAATAGATATGCTAGGCTATTAGCCACGTTATGACTGACTTGTGATCATTGCCCTTGCTAGTTTGATTGTATTGGCATTCACAGACTTAGATACATTTGTCCGTTGTTGTACAAAATATTGAGTCATTGAAACTGAAACAGTGCATCCCGAATGGAGGCAGAAAACAATGTACCAGACCAAATGTGATTTACAACCTGATAGCAATATTTTTGGACTACCAAGAAATCTATTGGTGAATTATATGAATCATGCATTGAACTGCAGCCATCTATTCTGCCAACAATGCCTTAGAGTACCATCATGGAATGTTAAGTCTCCCGAGTGGCGCAGTGGTCTAAGGCACTGCATCGCAGTGCTAGCTGTGCCACTAGAGATCCTGGTTCGAATCCAGGCTCTGCTGTAGCCGGCCGCAACCGGGAGACCAATGGGGCGGCGCACAATTGGCCCAGGGTAGGGGAGGGAATGGCCGGCAGGGAGGTAGCTCAGTTGGTAGAGCATGGCGTTTGCGACGCCAGGGTTGTGGGTTCGATTCCCACGGGGGGCCAGTATGAAAATAAAAAAGAATAATGTATGCACTAACTGTAAGTCGCTCTGGATAAGAGCGTCTGCTAAATGACGTAAATGTAGAACCTATTTTTAAAACCTCTTATAAAGTTGGTTTTGTAGCATGAACTGGGAATTTGATATGACTGATATTATGATTGTCTGTTTCATATCTGCAAAGTATACTGAACAAAAATACAAAACACAACAATTAACGGTTTTACTGAGTTACAGTTCATATAATGAAATCAGTCAATTTAAATAAATAAGGCCCTAATCTATGGATTACACAACTGGGCATAGGCCCACCCACTGGGGAGCCAGGCCCAGCCAATCAGAATGAGGTTATCCCTCACAAAAGGGCTTTATTACAAACAGTAACACTCCTCAGTTACATCAGCTGTCCGGGTGGCTGGTCTCAGACGATCCCGCAGGTGAAGAAGCCGGATGTGGAGGTCCTGGGCTGGCTACACGTGGTCTGCGGTTGTGAGGCCGGTTGGACATACTGCCAAATTCTCTAAAACGACGTTGGAGGGGGCTTATGGTAGAGAAATTAACATTAAATTATCTGGCAACAGCTCTGGTGGACATTCCTGCAGTCAGCATGCCAATTGCATGTTCCCTCAAAACTTGAGACATCTGTGGCATTGTGTTTTGAGACAAAACTTCACATTTTAGAGTGGCCTTTTATTGTCCCCAACACAAGGTGCACCTGTGTAATGATCATGCTGTTTAATCAGTTTATTGGTACACCACATCTGTCAGGTGGATAGATTATCTTGGCAAAGGAGAAATACTCACTAACAGGGATGTAAATTTGTGCACAATTTGAGAGAAATAAGCTTGTTGTGTTTATGGAACCTTTCAGGGATCTTTTATTTCAGCACATGAAACATTTGACATGTTGCGTTTATATTTTTGTTCAGTGTACATATTCCATTTGTAAAGTGGTGTTATTTCCTCTATATTGATAGCTGAGAAATTAAAGTTATACTCACACCGCTGAGACTTTACAATTTTTTAACAACAGTAGTTGTTTTAAAAACTGTCTTTCCCGCAATTACATTTTGAAATGTTGCTTAACTGTCAGTATGCTTGTGCTTATCAGAATGGATCTCTCCCTTTACTCCTTGTGCAAAGGGGGGAGCGGGAGTCAGAGCCAGCAGCAAAACAGGGAAAGGGCAGATATTATAATTGCGGGAAGCAGGTTAATGCACATTACTGTTGACCAAATAATGGCCAAATAATGGTTTTATAAACAAAACAAAAATCTGCAGGAACACTGGGTTGCCCAATCACTGAAATTACCGAAGCAAGCAAAATTGCTTTGGTAAGAGGAGGGCAATGTCAGTTTATTGTCCCAGCTTTAGTTACTGTTGTTGTCTTTCAAATTGTAGAGGCTACCTTGCGCTCTTTCTTTCCTCTGGCAACAGCCCGACTCGCACATGATGTGCACACACAGAGGCGCACGTGGATAGCTCTCTAACAACTTGAAAGTGCGCCTCGAGTTGATGTTCAACTGGGTGATTCTCATGAAACCAGTTTTAAACATGTCTGTAGCAAATAGAGTTACAAAACCAATAGTAAAACTTTTATACACCCATGAACCATCATCTAGAGTAGTCCTTAGATGAGAAAAGTTAATTTAATGAATTTGCTTATATGCCTACAGAATGAGTTTCTTATTCTCAAACACCCCCCTTTACCCCACTTGTGGCCTTCTCATTACCGAAACGGCTAAAAAGCTCAAATTGGGAAAAGGTCATTTAAGTTTAAATTAAAAAAATGTCAATGTTATGTTTAACTCTGGCCATTTCATTGGGGAAGCAATGTAAAAATAAAAGTAAAAAAAAATGGATTTGTCTATTACTTTTTGGTACTTCGAAAACTGTTGCAGTAATAAGAATTTTGTGGAATTTGTGGTAAAATGCATAATATCTGATTTAAAAAAAAATACAATTATTAAATAGATCCTAATCTCAGTGATCCATGAGGAATTTGTGAAAAAATTACATGGATTTTTAGTAAAATGTCAGTCATAAGAATGACCCAATTGTTTTTCTTTTTTTGCCGCGGTGGCAACAATTAAAGCTGCAATATGTAACCTTTTGGGCGACCTGACCAAATTCACATAGAAGTGTGTTATAGATCTGTCGTTCTCATTGAAAGCAAGTCTAAGCGGTAGATCTATTCTATGTGCGCTATTTCTATGCTTCCCGTTCTTAAGTTTCATTTTTGCGTCTTTAATTTTGGTTTTGTACACCAGCTTCAAACAGCTGAAAGTACTATATTTTTGGTTATGGAAAATATATTTCACAGCAGTGTAGATGGTACAATGATTCTCTACACTATACTTGCTTGTTTTGTCAAACTGAAAATAGGCAAACTATTAGAATTTTAGCTTAGTGGGTAAGAGCGTTGTGCCAGTAACCGAAAGGTCGCTGGTTCTAATCCCCGAGCCGACTAGGTGAAAAATCTGTCGATGTGCCCTTGAGCAAGGCACTTAACCCTAATTGCTCCTGTAAGTCGCTCTGGATAAGAGCGTCTGCTAAATGACTCAAATGTAAATGTAATGTACCAGGAAATGGCGGAGTGTTTTCTGCATAGTGAGTCTTTAAGCAGCGGCACAATATAGACCAGATAAATAAATTTAAGACTTAAAGGACCTGCAGACACCCTGGTAATTAAGTCGCTCATTACCATGCTGATATTATTCACAGAATGGACCCATCATGTTCTCTGTGACAGTAACACCACACTGCCCTCTATATAAGTTCTCACTTGCATAGTGCATTGCCGTCAGTGATATCATTCCCATTCCTAACCCCTACTTCCAGAAAGTCAATGAGTCATTATTAACCTGTTGATATCAGCCTGTCTGTTACCTGTTGGGCTATCTGTGAGATCTGGGAGGCTGTGATGGTGGTGGGGATGGTGACAGTCTGTGTCTCAGCGCCATTGCTGTTCTGCACCTCTTCCATGGTCACTGCGGAGGCAGATATACAGATACATTAAAGACCACTGATTACTGCAACACATTAAAATACAGATATTTAAATGTTTTACATTTTAATCATTTAGCAGACGTACAGTTAGTGAGTGCATACATTTTTCATACTGGCCCCCCGTGGGAAACGAACCCACAACCCTGGCGTTGCAAGAGCCATGCTCTACCAACTGAGCTACAGGGGACTCAGATATCAGATATTACAGAACATTGAGCAGATTTGTTAAGACATATTGGCTAGTCTGTCATTCAGTAAGAAAAGGCTTGATGAACTAACTGGTAAACCAGGTAAGATTTCCTGATGGGACACTAGTGTGTATGGGCACTGGACAGAGCCCTCTGGCATGTCTATTTTGTAAATAAAGGTTTATGGTGGCCACTGACTGGACAGGCTGAGCATTTCCATGGAAACAGAGGATAGTCACCCATCCCTCACACCTAAAAAAGTATTGACTAGCTAGTTTTTCACCATAGCTAGAATTACTATGCACATCCACCAGGATATATTTATGTGTCCATTGAACAAAACATATAGCTAGCTAATCATGTCTCACCAAGGATATGGTCTCACTAAAGACATGATTGAACATTCAGTACAACGTACCAGTAGCTAGCTAGTTACAAGGCTGACAGCACTAAATACTAACTTGTGGTAGCTAGCTAGCTATAACTTTTGGTTAGCTAGGGGTCTAACGTTAGCTAGTTAGCCAAGTGCGTTGTCTTTCCTGCTCAACATAGCTTGCTGGCTAATTGGTGTGGTCAACAGGCAAATACCAATGTCGTTAGCTAGCTAGCTACCGTAATCACGCACGAGAACCCGGTTCACAATATGCAAACATTGTTAGCTAGCTAGTTATTGAGCAGCGTGAGCGTTTAGTTAACGTTACACAGCATCCTCTAATTTGAATACAAGCTAACTAGATAGGCAAATTAGGGTGCGTTCGTAAATTCACTCTGGCTATCTACTCCAATTTCAGAGCACTCTCGTCTGAGTTTGCCAGAGCGCAGAATAACTGATTAATTTACGAACGCTCAACACCCTTGAATATGGCCGGTGTCAGTAAACGTCGGCAAAAGGGCATAATTAAATTGTTGCACCAGCAGTGTGCGCTCTGAACGCTCCGCGAGCGAAACACTCTGAATTTATGAACGGACAATCTGGGTGTGTTCGTAAATTCAATCTGGAGTGCCAGAGGGTCCTCAGAGTGTGCTCTTGGCGTTCGTAAACTCAGAGCGTTGTCAGATTGTCCGTTCGTAAATTCAGCGTTTCGCTCTCAGAGCGCGCACTGGAAGCTCTGGCCAAGGAGTAGGGTTGATCCGAGCGTTCTGACAACACAACGGCAGTCTAACACCCAAGCTAACTGGCTAACGTTGGCTAGCTACTTCCAGACACAAATGAGGACACATCACTCGGACGATTTTACTGTTATCCAACTGTGCTGCTGGCTACAATTGAATTACGTTTTTTGCCGACGTTTACTAACACCGGACATATTCAACTGGTGTTGAGCGTTGGTAAAATCATCAGTTATTCTCCGCTCTGGCACACTCAGACGAGTGCTCTGAAATCGTAGTAGATAGCCAGAGCGAACGCTCTGCATTTACTAGTGCACTCTGGCACTCCAGATTGAATTTAAGAACACACCCTTAGTGACGTTTGATAAATTAGTACCGTTTTGATAGCAATAGATGACGTTAGTTAACTAACGTTAATTTGTTAAATCAGGGTAATGTCAGCCAGCTAACGCTAGCTCGCTGGCTAACTAAACATTGGTGGATAAGCCAGCTATTCTTAACATTTGCCTTGTAGTTAGCTAGCGTGGCTAGTATGTGCTTTTGTCTCAATGAATGAGCGAATTTTTGTAATACACAGTCACTGGCACGCAAGTACCCGCGTCAACGGACGTCAGCGATAAGGGGAGCCATGATTAGCAACTTACCTTTCCCTTCGACAAGGACGAGGAGAGGGAGCCGCCAGGCGCCATTACATTAGCAAAGCACACCATAAAATGGCATTGTGCGGAGCACATACAGACGGTAAAATCATTGAAAAGCTGTATTACCTTTGAAATCCTTCGTGGACCTCAGCGGTGGCGTTGATTATCTCAAAAGCGCGTATAAATCACGGGAAAACAAATAGTTGTTAGCTAGCTAATTGCTAATATGGTAAATAAAAAGGGCGGCGCGGAACCATAAAAAAAATAAAAACGTTCTATTTGTTTTTAAAGGAAGGAGGCGGAGATGCGCGCTGCCCCAGGAAGGACATATGACGTAATTGTTTCATTTGAGCACTGTGATTGGTGGAAAGGTGTGCATAGCATATCTATGATGACATAAAATAGATAAAATGTCGCTGCCTCTGTAAAAATTCCCACATGCAGTTTTGTAAATAGCACTTAAAATGCATCCCATTAAATGTCCACATCACATGCAAATAGCCCTTTAATGTCCACATCTGTAGTAAATGGCCACCTTCAGTGGATATACATAGCATCAACTTCCTGAAATAGCTTAGTCATACTAAGCTATTTTAGGTACAGTATTTCTTAGTTGTATTCTTCAAAAACCAAGGGGTATATTTCAATAGTTGAAATGATCAATAAAATGTTAGACAGCACCTTTAACAAATGTGGTTACACATCCATACACATGAGTAATGTCATTGAACAATGCACTCAACATGAAGTTAAAAGCTGTACGAAAATAAAGAAAATTATTTGCTGTAAAATCAAAGCCTTTCATTTATTTTTTGCAATTTCAGTATAAAACAGCAATTATGACCAATTTACTAAATGAAATGAGTGAAAATAATGGGGTGAGGCTAGTATAATATCAAGTCTTTATTTAAAAAATATATGAGCTAAATGACTCCAGAACACAATTAAATCACTATGACTGACTATGACTATGACCTGTTTTTAAATAGCAACTGAACATAATAAGCAACTTTTCTTTTTGAAAACTTCCTGTGGCATCAATATAAGTCAGAAACATTTATTCTAGTGTCGAAATTGACTACAAAGTGTAAATAGGATAATTTTGGTCATAAAGTCAGTCTCATCCAAAACAGATTTGCGAAATAATTAGGAAAAAATGGTATGTCACAGAATGAAGGGTACCTTAACAGTTTTCCTTGGGTTGGGTTTATTTCAAACCTGATCATAATGCCCATGGTCAATTTGGTTTGATATTCGATATCCCTATGGGACTAGTTAGAGATCATCAGTAAAGCTCCAAATTAGCTCCAAATTTCAATGACTTAAAAACCTCAAACCAACTATAAATTGTAGAAATTAAAGGGATTCTCCGGTACTTTTGTATACTTTTTAGCCAGTAGTTCTGAAAGTAGTGCCCACAAGCCAAAAGTGTTCCCTGGAAATTCGTAGGTTACTACATGACATATGTGCAGATTTGTGCACCATGTCATTGCTCTCTCTCTACTGTGTGTGCATTTTGCTAGCTGTCACTCAAATGGCAAGGGGCTGAAGCTCATTGCTAGATCTCAAATTGCTAGGGCAGCCCCATGTGGGGGGGAAATGTAGGGAAAATGGCACTGCACAGCTTCCAGAAAATAGTCGCTTTCAAACTAGGGATTTCGTGGCTAATTGAGGTAAAACGGTATTTCTGCTGATAGATTATGCATGTATGAACTACACATTGACACATCCAGCCCAAAGCTGGGAGGTTAAAAAAATATTTACTAGTCGCCAAAGTACCGAGCATGTCTTTAATATATAAATATTCAAAGCATTTAAAGAGACAACTAAAAGGTGTGCAATTATTGTCCTATTTACATTGTGTAATTTATTGACAGTCCATAACTAGCCCCACAAATAGGCTATCCAAAGTGAAACCAACTTGCCAAGGTAGCACACCAGCCCACTGAAGCTAATTGGAGAAATAAATTGGCTAGCTTGCTAGCTAGTCTAGGCTACTTGCAGACACAATACCTGGTTAGACTGTCAATCTAGAAGGGTGAGTGACTGTAACTGTGTACTGTTTTGGCAGAGTGAAAGTACAAACGCTTCCCACGTTCGAACACACAACCAAGAGACACCCACATCAAAGCAAGCCTCCAAACCCCAAATATTTTTCTCAGTCACATTTCCTAATGAGGATAATTGAAACTGAGGCTAAATCGGGAAGTTCAGCCCCCCTTTAATTGACATTATTATTAACCAAATCATTTATATACACAGCATACCAAGAGTGCATACACAAAATATTGATTGAACAACTCAGATAAAGAGATATGTGCAATGCTATATGTACAATACCACAAGTCAAATTTAAGTCCTCTTTGTGTATATTTATTACAAAATGTATAAGCAACATGAATTTCCCCAGGGCTGTGTAAACATTGGGGTTAAACTGCACGCCCATTGATTGCATAGTGTCAAAAAGTATTTTGGAGAGAGCAGAGAGAAGAGGAAGCCCTTATTGACCTCCCTGTGGTAGATTGATTGCAGTTAGCAGTAATGACAAGCAAGTCCTGGGCCAAACATCCACAACATGGGGAGTATTATTCACTCTGTTGTCAGAGCAGCCCACTATTGTTCCCTGAAATGTCACCCAAAAAATGAATAAAACATCTCTCCCTTTTGTGCTTGAATCTGATGTGTATGTGTGCTTGGTCTCTGAGTCATGCATTCAGACATTCCACGGTGAACCTGGAACTTTAATTCAAATGTAGGATATGGCGCTATAACTTGTCACTGCTTTTGTTTTTCTGAATGGATAGGTTCAAATCATATGGTAACCTTGTAATTGCTCTAAACATTGTGATTGAACAGCATAAGGGGGACAGTTATTTAACTCATACACATCTCTTGTCCAGAACCTTCGCATAATGTTCTTATTCATATATTACAACAAAATTAATTGCAAACTTTTAAGCTGTAGTGTTGAACATGACTGAATGTTACATATACACAAACCCCGTTCACACTTCTCACATATTTAAGAAGGAGACCGAAAATAACAAAACAACAAACTATTTACGTGTACATGTTAGACAATAATAATGAAATGCTCATCATGGACTCCTATAGCACTGCAAGGAGAATAAATGTTATTTTGAGGATCACTAGAACCGTACAGACAGGAAGGAGCATACAATATAATAATAATGTGTGAAAACTTCTAAAGATTACAGTAAATGAGAACCCCCCCCCCCCCCCCGAGTGCTACACATTGTGTGTGGAGAGGAACATAACAGAACCCTAAACTGGTCGATGTTGTTCTCCGGTTTCATCCACAGGACTATGCCTAACTGTACTTGTCAATAAAATACTCTCTTGTTGATTCCAACAATATGATTGGCTCAGGTGTGCAACTGAAGTTTACAGGGGAAAATAAAAACAGGTTCCAGTGATTTAAAGTAGAATATAATTCAATTTTCAAACCTGACCACTATGATAGTGGCCAATGTTTAATTACATTAAATATGACAGTCCTATTTTGCAAATTGGGGCCCTGAAAGTCCTTTTCGTATGCAAAATGTTGCATTGCCATATTCTCTCACTCACATTCTTCAATCACTCAGCTTTGGACAGTCAGTGAAAAGTGCCCTGCATCTAAACTATTTGATCAGTGGTTCATATAAGAAATAAGAGCTTGCCACAAAACAACAGTCATTATATTGGTTTCATCGTTCTCCCCAAGCTCATAACATCAAACCAATCTCTGGTTGGGCCCAGAAGTTATCCCTGACTGTACAAATCCCTGACAACCTTATTCATGGTGGCGTGGTTTTCAAGGTCCTTCGAGCTTGAAGTGACCTGACCAGGAAAAACTCTTGGCACTATTAGCTGGTTCCTTTCTGCTAATCCCTAGTTAACTTGGATTCCTCAAAAATGATTCCTCACAATTAATATGCTCCTTGAACATGAGGAATGTGGATAATTGGATCATCAAAAATAGACAAGTGCAAGATCAGTGTTAAGATCTTAAATTTACTAGAGTCTTTACCTTTAAATTGCTTTAATTCTTATGTACAATAATCTTTCGGCACCATCTGCTCACAACTAGGTTAGTTATCCAGAAAACCATCAGGTGAGAGAGATCAATTGAGTTTTAGTTTTTTTACATGTATACATACAATTTAAAAATAATATCTATACAGTATATATAAAATACAGAAGCCTTGATGGGTACAGTACAGTAAATGGCCTCTATGTTCTACTCCAAACATCCCTTTGGATATCAATAAGGATTATCACCCCAATAACACAAACAGTTATGAAATGGAAGAACAGCAATGGACAAAAACAAAACGTGTATGGGCAAAGTTTTATAAGGCAAGAAGTAAACTTAATTAAAGAAAGTGGAGAATGCGTTCCATTTCTTATTTTGCCTTTTCAAGCAATAAACCTGTGATGCAAGTACAGCCAATGACGACTGACTGATGTAATTTCTTCTACGGCTGCTGATTGGTCTATCTTATATGTATTTTTTTTTTTAACCTTTATTTAACTAGGCAAGTCAGTTAAGAACAAATTCTTATTTACAATGACGGCCTACACCAGCCAAACCCGGACGACGTTGGGCCAATTGTGCGCCGCCCACTAATGTGTTCATTAGTGTTCTAACATGCCTTCACACATCCTTCATAAACCCCTGCCTCAAAGTACACAGATAGGTCACTACAGGGTGAAGCAAGCACAACATTTAGAATAAGTTAAAGATAAGAAAAGAAAAGAAAACAAGGACTGGGTAAGACCTGGAAAGCTTGGGGAGGAAAGCCAGTAAGAATGGAGTAAGATGAATATATTTTTTACATACTGTATCACTCAACCCCAGGAAATTATGTCACCAGAGACAGGAAGTCCTCATCCCTTGGCCCCTCGCAATACCTTACATATGATTGGATCATGGAGGAGTGGGGAGAGAGGTAAGATTGACTTCAGCACCTTAATACTCCCTGACACTGTGCAAATAGAGGGCCAGTCAGGCAGTTGAGGTGTTTGTTGTGTGATTGGGGGGTGTGGCGAGGGTATAGTTATTTTCCCTTCCAGTTGCAGTTGAAAAGCTGTGTTTAGTGTAGACACGGACTCTGTCCAGGTGGATATGGAGATATATATATCTCATTCCAAAATCATGGGCATTAATTTGGAGCTGGTCCCCCCCTTTGCTGCTATAACAGGGAAGGCTTTCCACTAGATATTGGAACATTGGTGCGTTGACTTGCATCCATTCAACGTTGACTTGCTTCCATTCAACCACAAGAACATTCGTGAGGTCGGGCACTGATGTTGGGCGATTAGGCCTGGCTCACAGTCGGCGTTCAGATTCATCCCAAAGGTGTTCGATGGGGTTGAGGTCAGGGCTCTGTGCAGGCCAATCAAGTTCTTCCACACCGATCTCCACAAACCATTTCTGTATGAACCTCGCTTTTGTGCACAGGGGCATTGTCATGCTGAAACAGGAAAGGGTCTTCCCCAAACTGTTGCCATAAAGTTGGAAGCACAGCATCGTCTAGAATGTCATTGTATGCTGTAGCATTAAGATTTCCCTTCACTGGAACTAAGGGGCCTAGCCCAAACCACAAAAAACAGCCCCAGACCATTATTCCTCCTCCACCAAACTTTACAGTTGGCACTATGCAAGTAGCGTTCTCCTGGCATCCGCCAAACACAGATTAGTCCATCGGACTGCCAGAAGTGTGATTCATCACTTCAGAGAACGCGTTTCCACTGCTCTAGAGTCCAATGACGGCGAGCTTTACACCACTCCAGCCAACGCTTGGCATTGCACATGGTGATCTTAGGCTTGTGTGCAGCAGCTCGGCCATGGAAACACATTTCATGAAGCTCCCAACGAACAGTTCTTGTGCTGACGTTGCTTCCAGAGGCAGTTTGGAACTCGGTAGTGAGTGTTGCAACCGAGAACAGACTATTTTTATGCGCTACGCGCTTCAGCACTCAGCAGTCCCTTTCTGTGAGCTTGTGTGGCCTACCACTTCGCAGCTGAGCCGTTGTTGCTCCTAGACGTTTCCAATTCACAATACCAGCACTTACAGTTGACCGGGGCAGCTCTAGCAGGGCAGAAATGTGACGAACTGACTTGTTGGAAAGGTGGCATCCTCTGACGGTGCCACGTTGAAAGTCACTGAGCTTTTCTGTAAGGCCATTCTACTGCCAATGTTTGTCTATGGAGATTGCCTGGCTGTGTGCTCGATACACCTGTTAGCAACGGGTGTGGCTGAAATAGCCAAATCCACTCATTTGAAGGGGTGTCCACATACTTTTGTGTGTGTGTGTTTGTGTGTGTATGTATATATACACACTACCGTTCAAAAGTTTGGGGTCACTTAGAAATGTCCTTGTTTTCGAAAGAAAAGCAATTTTTTTGTCCATTAAAATAACATCAAATTGATCCGAAATACAGTGTAGACATTGTTAATGTTGTAAATGACTATTGTAGCTGGAAACGGCTGATTTTTAATGGAATATCTACATAGGCGTACAGAGGCCCATTATCAGCAACCATCAGTCCTGTGTTCCAATGGCACGTTGTGTTTGCTAATCCAAGTTTATCATTTTAAAAGGCTAATTGATCATTAGAAAACCCTTTTGCAATTATGTTAGCACAGCTGATAACTGTTGTGCTGATTAAAGAAGCAATAAAACTGGCCTTCTTGAGACTAGTTGAGTATCTGGAGCATCAGCAATTTTGGGTTCGATTACAGGCTCAAAATGGCCAGAAACAAAGAACTTTCTTCTGAAACTTGTCAGTCTATTCTTGTTCTGAGAAATGAAGGCTATTCCATGCGAGAAATTGCCAAGAAACTGAAGATCTCGTACAACGCTGTGTACTGCTCCTTCACAGAACAGCGCAAACTGGCTCTAACCGGAATAGAAAGAGGAGTGGAAGGCCCCAGTGCACAACTGAGCAAGAGGACAAATACATTAGAGTGTCTAGTTTGAGAAACAGACACCTCACAGGTCCTCAACTGACAGCTTCATTAAATAGTACCTGCAAAACACCAGTCGCAACGTCAACAGTGAAGTCATATCTCAGACTGGCCAATAAAAATAAAAGATTAAGATGGGCAGTCTGAGATATGGCTTTTTCTTTGCAACTCTGCCTAGAAGGTCAGCATCCCGGAGTCGCCTCTTCACTGTTGATGTTGAGACTGGTGTTTTGCGGGTACTATTTAATGAAGCTGCCAGTTGAGGACCTGTGAAGCGCCTGTTTCTCAAACTAGACACTCTAATGTATTTGTCCTCTTGCTCAGTTGTGCACCGGGGCCTCCCGCTCCTCTTTCTATTCTGGTTAGAGACAGTTTGCGCTGTTCTGTGAAGACATTTCTAAGTGACCCCAAACTTTTGAACGGTAGTGTATATATATACACTGCTCAAAAAAATAAAGGGAACACAAAAATAACACATCCTAGATCTGAATGAATGAAATAATCTTATTAAATACTTTTTTCTTTACATAGTTGAATGTGCTGACAACAAAATCACACAAAAATTATCAATGGAAATCAAATGTATCAACCCATGGAGGTCTGGATTTGGAGTCACCCTCAAAATCAAAGTGGAAAACCACACTACAGGCTGATCCAACTTTGATGTAATGTCCTTAAAACAAGTCAAAATGAGGCTCAGTAGTGTGTGTGGCCTCCACGTGCCTGTATGACCTCCCTACAACGCCTGGGCATGCTCCTGATGAGGTGGCGGATGGTCTCCTGAGGGATCTCCTCCCAGACCTGGACTAAAGCATCCGCCAACTCCTGGACAGTCTGTGGTGCAACGTGGCGTTGGTGGATGGAGCGAGACATGATGTCCCAGATGTGCTCAATTGGATTCAGGTCTGTGGAACGGGCAGGCCAGTCCATAGCATCAATGCCTTCCTCTTGCAGGAACTGCTGACACACACCAGCCACATGAGGTCTAGCATTGTCTTGCATTAGGAGGAACCCAGGGCCAACCGCACCAGCATATGGTCTCACAAGGGGTCTGAGGATCTCATCTCGGTACCTAATGGCAGTCAGGCTACCTCTGGCGAGCACATGGAGGGCTGTGCGGCCCCCCAAAGAAATGCCACCCCACACCATGACTGACCCACCGCCAAACCGGTCATGCTGGAGGATGTTGCAGGCAGCAGAACGTTCTCCACGGCGTCTCCAGACTCTGTCACGTCTGTCACGTGCTCAGTGTGAACCTGCTTTCATTTGTGAAGAGCACAGGGCGCCAGTGGCGAATTTGCCAATCTTGGTGTTCTCTGGCAAATGCCAAACGTCCTGCACGGTGTTGGGCTGTAAGCACAACCCCCACCTGTGGACGTCGGGCCCTCATACCACCCTCATGGAGTCTGTTTCTGACCGTTTGAGCAGACACATGCACATTTGTGGCCTTCTGGAGGTCATTTTGCAGGGCTCTGGCAGTGCTCCTCCTGCTCCTCCTTGCACAAAGGTGGAGGTAGCAGTCCTGCTGCTGGGTTGTTACCCTCCTACGGCCTCCTCCATGTATCCTGATGTACTGGCCTGTCTCCTGGTAGCACCTCCATGCTCTGGACACTACGCTGACAGACACAGCAAACCTTCTTGCCACAGCTCGCATTGATGTGCCATCCTGGATGAGCTGCACTACCTGAGCCACTTGTGTGGGTTGTAGACTCCGTCTCATGCTACCACTAGAGTGAAAGCACCGCCAGCATTCAAAAGTGACCAAAACATCAGCCAGGAAGCATAGGAACTGAGAAGTGGTCTGTGGTCACCAACTGCAAAACCAGTCTTTTATTGGGGGTGTCTTGCTAATTGCCTATAATTTCCACCTGTTGTCTATTCCATTTGCACAACAGCATGTGAAATGTATTGTCAATCAGTGTTGCTTCCTAAGTGGACAGTTTGATTTCACAGAAATGTGATTGACTTGGAGTTACATTGTGTTGTTTACGTGTTCCCTTTATTTTTTTGAGCAGTGTATATATATGAGTATACCAAACATTAGGAACACCTTCCTAATATTGAGTTGCACCCCCCCTTTTGCCCACAGAACAGCCTCAATTTGTCGGGGCATGGACTCTACAACGTGTCAAAAGCGTTCCACAGGGATGCTGGCCCATGTTGACTCCAATGCTTCCCACAGTTGTGTCAAGTTGGCTGGATGTCCTTTGGGTGGTGGACCATTCTTCATACAAATGGGAAACTGTTGAGAGTGAAAAACCGAACAGCGTTGCAGTTCTTGACACAAACCGGTGCGCCTGGCACCTACTACCATACCCTGTTCAAAGCCACTTAAATATTTTGTCTTGTCTATTCACCCTCTGAATGGCACACATACACAATCCATTTCTCAATTGTCTCAAGGCTTAAAAATACTTCTTTAACCTGTCTCCTCCCCTTCATCTACACTGATTTGAAGTGGATTTAACAAGTGACATAAATAAGGGATCATAGCTTTCACCTGGAATCACCTGGTCAGTCTATGTCACGGAAATAGCAGTTGTCCTTAATGTTTTGTATACTCAGTATATATATATATATATATATATATATATATATATATATATATATATATATATATATATATATATATATATATATATATATATATATATATATACACACTTTTTTTTTTTTACAATACAGTGTACGTCTCAAAACACAACAGAGTGCTCCTTGAAATCCAACAGACCTGGAATGCAAAATACCTAAGATCTGAACCACATACACCCCAAAAAGGTCTGTGTCAATACAGTGCAGTAAAGTGCAGCCAACCCCCTCCTACTGCCCATTGTGGTACCATGCATTTTCTGTCTGTGGAGCAGGTTGGTCCTTTCTTCCTAACCCCCTCTCCAACAGCCGGAATCTTTTCCACCATACGATGACCAGCCCAGCCCATCCCCCCTGGCCCCTCACATATTATACGCCACATAGATGGGGTCCAGTTGGTCAGCCAGGAAGGAGTCCCGGAGGTGCATGCGCTGTTTCTCCCCCCTGGAGTTGATAGGTATGACCCCCGGGTCCACGATGACCACCACGCCCACGATGAGATGGTGCTCCTCCAGCACCACGTTGGTGACCAGGGGCACCAGGTCCAGGGCATCCTGCTCTGAGCCACACAGCTCAGCCACCACCACCAGTAGGTTGGTCCACGTGAACACCGCACTGTATGGGACACATATGAAAAAGGGGTTATATTCAAATCAAATGTCAGACAAAGACACACACGTGCGCACGTACACACACACACTAAGAAATCTCTTCATCTCACTCCAATTATGAAAACACAGATAAACCAATGGACAATAAGTAAGGTTTCCTGGGACACTCCAGTGTTCTGACCTCTCTGCGATGCTGCGGTGAGCCCGGGACACAGATGTCTCGATGTCGATGGGGTGGTAGCGCAGTCCCCTAAGCTCCAGAGTCTCATCCACGGAACCCACCACAAACAGGGCATCATGACGATCTGACCACAGAGAGGGAGACAGACAGAGAGGGGCAAACAAATATGTTGAATACTGGGTATGTTGGGCTAGCTCATTTATCCCTCATCAGATCCCTAGTATGTCTCCCTTTTCTTGTTATCCATTAGCATTAGCATCATAGCCCTCCCTTTTCATGCTATCTATTAGCATTAGCATCCATAGCATCCCTTTTCATGTTAGCCATTAGCGTTAGCCTCCATAGCCCTCCCTTTTCATTTTTTATCCATTAGCATCCATAGCCCTCCCTTTTCATGTTATCCATTAGCATTAGCATCTATAGCCCTCCCTTTTTATGTTAGCCATTAGCGTTAGCCTCCATATCCCTGACCGGGCCCATCCACTCACGCCCAGCGGCATCTAGTAGTTCAGTCCTCTTGACGAAGCCCAGGTAGCCAGTCCTGGCCCACAGAGTCGTGGGGTCTCCAAAGCTCAGCTTGGTGTTAAAGTGGTCGGCCTGCAGGCTCTCCTCTCCATAGATGGTATAGTAGCCACTGGCACTGTGAGGGCTGTTAATCCAGATCTGACAGAGACAGAGAGCAGAGTAGGGGACAAGGTACAGTTAACATTTTACATTTACATTTTAGTCATTTAGCAGACGCTCTTATCCAGAGCGACTTACAGGAGCAATTAGGGTTAAGTGCCTTGCTCAAGGGCACATCGACAGATTTTTCACCTAGTCGGCTCGGGGATTAGAACCAGCGACCTTTCGGTTACTGGCACAATGCTCTTAACCACTAAGCTACCTGCCGCCCAACCTAATAAGGATGGAATAGGAGAGTTATGTATGAGGAGAATTGTTGGTTATTGATAGGGATAGGAGTTTTTCCTAATTATACCTTTCCTATTGCCCATCCTTTTATCTATGCCACATGTTGACATATTCACTCTAATATTAGCATTCTCTTCCCTCACCTCTCCTAGATGGGAATCTCCTAGAGGTCCTCTGGTCTCTGGGTTCACAATGATCACCCTGACTCCTGGTAAGATCTATAGAGAGTGATAGAGTAGAGAGACAGATGGTGAACAACAAAATCCCACAACAACACATCTTGTATCTGAATACAAAGGGAATTTAATGTGTGTGGATCCATCAGGGGAGACTTACTTTGCCAGACTCCATCAGAGGGAGACTCTGAGGGGCTCCCCTCTCCACCAGCCTCACCCTGAGACAGAAAGTGAAAGCACATTGTGATGGTGAACTCAATACTGTAAAAACAAAAAAGATCCTCAGCGTCAAAGCTGCTCATACATATGTTCTCACCTGTCATGGCGGAGGGACTTCATGTCCACATACACAGTGGAGGGGTCCGGTCCAGTGGTTCCCTGAGAAACAAACAGAAAACCTGACTGAAAACTCAGATACACATCCACTGTACATGTATCAGTCCTTGAGGAGACATACAGGGAGGTCCTGCTGTACTAACTGAACTGGCAGACAACCCTCAGAGTCCTCTATTTACACGTGACTCTTCTGTTATGTAGAGTTAACAGAAGGCTCTAGCCTCCAGTTCAGGGAGACACTAGTTAGTGCATCAACCAACATGAGTCAAGGTTCAGCCACAAATCATAGGAACATTGGACATGGCCGTCAAAACATTAATGTTTTCCCTTAGCCATTAATACAAGTCTATCTTTCCAAACAAGTGAGTTATGCTTCCATCTTATGAAATTCCCTGTTGCCTAGTACCTCCTCACAGAACAGATTCTAGCTGGTTGAATACCTGCATGCAAATGGCCAGGTTGACCCTGGATCCAAAGGCTGTGCTGACAGCACGGGGGGAGAGGCCCAGGTCCTTAAACAGCTTGGAGAAGGACATGGTGAGGGTCAGACGAGGACGCTCCTCTGCTATCACCACACAGCTCCTCACACATGACAGGTTCAGCCCCCGTGCCTGGAAGGAAAGAGAGAAGGAGATGGGGAGTTAGCGTGTTTGTGTTTGTGTGTGTGTGTGTGTGTGTGTGTTGTACTCACTTTGAGTATCTCTGTCTGCGTGCCTATCCCCTTGGTGCAGAGCTCCATGACAGAGTAGGAGCAGAAGGTGTCTCTGATGCGGTACTGGCTCAGGGTGCTCAGCCACAAGGGCAGACAGCTCTCCAACTCCAGAGGAGGGATTAGGATGGACTGGTGGCCCGAGTACACACTACACACACAGGAAACAAGATAAGGTGTGAGTTCATGTGTGTAAGCGAGAGAGATAAAGATACCCTGTGTGTGTGTATGTGTGTGTTACCTTGCGAGGCACCACAGTACGAAGCCCAGGCCACAGTAAGGGTCCAGGCAGATGGCTATTTGGCGTGAGGAGTAGAGCTCACACTGCAGCTTGATGGAGCGACACAGAGCACTGACTGCCGCATGGGAGATCTGATGGCCAGAGACACACAGCCAATCACACACACATCACAATGAAACCAATAAGAGAAGCAGAATCAACCGGTAAAGCCATGGTTATGGCTACCGCCATTGGCCCACTGTAAAGCAGATGAGCAAAATGGGCCGTTGGCTACTGACTTTGCCGAAGGCAGGCCGCTCATGGGCCACCATAGGTTTGCAAACTATCTGGGGCTGTTTTAGAGTATTGAGACACAGTGGTAGCCTCCTGTAATTGACCTTACCTTGACCCCAGTGAGCATGCCCGTGGTGGACACACTGAAGTCCAGATAGGCGATCATCTCTGCCGTGGGGGGCTTGTAGATCGTGGGGGGTCTATGGCGAGGGAGGTCATCTGGAAGAAGGGAACATGCACAACAAGGTTGAGTTTCTCTGGCTCAGGTTAGGTATGTTCTGTATGTAAGATCTTCTATGGCAGGGGTTCTCAAAATGGGGTGTGGAGGTACTTTAGGGGGTACACAGCCAGATCCAAGTATTTATTTATTTTTATATATAAAAAAAAATAATTTGATTAAACTAATTTTGTCCAAGGGATCTGTGGAATAAGTTTAGAGGGTATAATACAATACAATATATATATATACAATGTATGTTCTTAACCCTGGGCAACATGTTCAGAGGGATATTGGTATCCACAGTACTCCACCAATTATCAACTCAATACTTTTACATAAATGCACTGTAATTTAAGCTTTAAACTGCAAAGTGTTCTCTCTGTCTTATGGCAAAATGTGTAGAATTGCAGGAAATTTGTTTGAAAACTTCAAAAGAAAATCTCAGATGCCAAAAGCATTAAAATGTTCCATCCCAGGGCCTGAGACTTGGTTCATCCGGCCATACACTGCCGAAGTCATAGTAAAACTCCTTGTATGCTATTTTTATCTCACTCGAGTGGTGTTCTGATTATGAGGGGGTCCCTCACTGATGAATTTGCGATCACAAAAGGGGTCCCCAGCACCAAAAAGTTTAAGAACACCTGGCCTATGGTACCTGTGTCTATGATTGTCGGCCATGTTTTAATGTTCAGAGAGGCAGCAGCCTCTTTGGAGCGCAGGATCCTCATGAGGTTCTGAGTGGTAAGGATACAGGCAGCTTTACTGACCTGGGGACAGACAGATGCACCACAAACATGTTAGTTTGTAGAAAAGTATGGTTCCAACTTCATACCTTTGGAAGACCAAAATAATAACACTCAAACAAAATGCTAATAAAAAAGCACCCATCCTCATACACTCACGTAATCAAAATATACCACATATACACATAAACATGCACACACTTACATCGATGATCATGCGGACAGTGGGAAGTGTGGCTGCCAGGTTCTGTGGATGAGGAGGTCTGACAGTGACAGGAACACAGCCAGCGTACAGACAGCCATAGAAAGAGGCTATCAGGTCAATACCTAGAGAGAGAGACAGAAAGAGAGACAAAGACAGACTGTAACTCTAAGTCATCCTCAATGGGTATGACTATGCCACTTCTCAGTGTGAGTCTGATGGACGGACAGACAGAAAGACAGAAAGGACCCACCAGGAGGGTAGAGCAGCACCACGTTGTCCCCGGTGTTGATGCTGCCTTTCTCTGTGAGCGCCGCTGCAATCTTCTCCGCCCGCTTATGCAGCTGCACACATGTGGCTGTGCACACTGCTACCCCCTGAAGCAAAGGCATTAGAGAGAGGGTAGGGGCAAGGGGTTTATTTAAAACTGGGCACAACTGTCTATGGGGGTTCTGTATACTGTATGTGTGAGAGTGAGTCTAAAAGAGTGAGAGTGCTACCTTTGCATTGAGCAGCACATAGAGACAGTGGTCTGGGTCAGTCTGTGCCCTCCACTGTAGAGCCTCGGACAGGAACTGGTGCTGAGGAGAGAAAAGAGAGGGTCAAAGCTAATTACATAGCAATCATATCAATAGGGAAAAAATCAATTGATATCAACACAAAATAACCACAAATAAATCTAATAAGAGTTGTATTTTGCTGATGGAAGGAACCTGACAGAACTTGAATTTCCTCAAGTTAATTCCCTTAAGTTACAGTAAGTCTAAGGACATGAAGATGGTCAATACAGTTGCACTGCAGTAAATAGCCCTGGAGCAAAAATGTCCTCTGTAGGTAGCTTTTCTACCAGGAGGAAGGCAACTGTCACTTCCATTGGCAAAGTAGCAAACAAATGGTCAATTTACACCATGCAGCATTAACCAAACTATTCCTTAAAATAATGAAAAACTGATTTAAATATTAGCTAACAGCAATTATGGGGAGGAATCAATTGGGAAAAAACAGCAAAGCACATGAAGAGCAGATGTGGATGGTTGAATCTCAGGAAGATGGCTTGCCAGGGCCTTCCTCTGAGTCCAAACAACTCTGTAGACCAGCAAGGCCTGTATGTGTATGTGTAGTATTTTGAACATTCAGAGGTGATGGGGGCCAATGGAAGAGCAAACAGACACTGCACTTGACACGTTTATGAAATTGCTTATTCCAGTTACTAATAAGCATGCACCCATTAAGAAAATGACTGAAAAACAGTTAAATCCCCGTGGATTGATGAGGAATTGAAAAATTGTATGGTTGAGAGGGATGAGGCAAAAGGAATGGCAAATAAGTCTGGCTGCACAACCGATTGGCAAACGTATTGCAAATTGAGAAATCATGTGACTAAACTGAATGAAAAGAAGAAGAAATAACACTATGATGGACTGGTGGATAAATAACATAAATAATGATAGTAAATAGCTTTGGAGCGACTTAAATGACATTTTGGGAAAAAAGGCAAACTCAGCTCCATCATTCATTGAATCAGATGGCTCATTCATCACAAAACCAACTGATATTGCCAACTACTTTAATAATTTTTTCATTGGCAAGATTAGCAAACTTAGGCATGACATGCCTGCAACAATTGCTAACACTACACATCCAAGTATATATAACCAAAGACAAGCATTGTAATTTTGAATTCCGTAAAGTGAGTGTGGAAGAGGTGAACAAATTATTGTTGTCTATTAACAACGACAAGCCACCGGGGTCTGACAACTTGGATGGAAAATTGCTGAGGATAATAGCGGAACGATATTGCCACTCCTATTTGCCATATTTTCAATTTAAGCCTACTAGAATGTGTGTGCCCCCAGGCTTGGAGGGAAGCAAAAGTCATTCCACTACCTAAGAATAGTTAAGCCCCCTTTACTGGCTCAAACAGCCGACCAATTAGCCTGTTACCAACCCTTAGTAAACTATTGGAAAAAATTGTGTTTGACCAGATACAATGCTATTTTACTGTAAACAAATTGACAAACTTTCAGCATGCTTATAGAAAAGGACATTCAACAAGCACAGCACTTACACAAATGACTGATGATTGGCTGAGAGAAATTGATGATAAAAAGATTGTGGGGGCTGTTTTGTTAGACTTCAGTGTGGCTTTTGACATTATCGATCATAGTCTGCTGCTGGAAAAACGTATGTATTATAGCTTTACACCCCCTGCTATAATGTGGATAAAGAGTTACTTGTCTAACAGAACACAGAGGGTGTTCTTTAATGGAAGCCTCTCAAACATAATCCAGGTAGAATCAGGAATTCCCCAGGGCAGCTGTCTAGGTCCCTTGCTTTTTATCCATCTTTACTAACGACATGCCACTGGCTTTGAGTAAAGCCAGTGTGTCTATATATGCGGATGACTCAACACTATACACGTCAGCTACTACAGCAACTGAAATAACTGCAACACTTAACAAAGAGTTGCAGTTAGTTTCGGAATGGGTGGAAAGGAATAAGTTAGTCCTGAATATTTCCAAAACTAAAAGCATTGTATTTGGGTCAAATCATTCACTAAACCTTAAACCTCAACTACATCTCGTAATGAATAATGTGGAAATTGAGCAAGTTGAGGTGACTAAACTGCTTGGAGTAACCCTGGATTGTAGACTGTCATGGTCAAAGCATATTGATACAACAGTAGCTAAGATGGGGAGAAGTATGTCCATAATTAAGCGCTGCTCTGCCTTCTTAACAACACTATCAACAAGGAAGGTCCTACAGGCCCTAGTTTTGTCGCACCTCAACTACTGTTCAGTAGCGTGGTCAGGTGCCACAAAGAGGGACTTGGGAAAATTGCAGTTGGCTTAGAACAGGGCAGCACAGCTGGCCCTTAAAAGTACACGGAGAGCTAACATTGATGACATGCATGTCAGTCTCTACTGGCTCAGAGTGGAAGAGAGATTGACTTCATCACTGCTTGTTTTTGTGAGAGGTGTCGACGAGCAGAATGTACCGAGCTGTCTGTTTGGAATACTGGCACACAGCTCGGACACCCATGCATACCCCACAAGACATGCCACCAGAGGTCTCTTCACAGTCCCCAAGTCCAGAACGGACTATGGGAGGCACTCAGTACTACATAGAGCCATGACTACATGGAACTCTATTCCACATCAGGTAACTGATGCAAGCAGTAGAATCAGATTTAAAAAACAGGTAAAAATACACCTTATGGAACAGCGGGGACTGTGAAGAGACACACACACAGGTACATACACACATACATATAGACACTCACTCTACACACACATACACATGGATGTTGTATTGTAAATATGTGATAGTGGAGTAGTGGCCTGAGGGAACACACTAAATGTATTGGGTAAAGTGTTATGAAATATAATGTCATGTAATATTTGAAATGGTATATAACTGCCTTAATGTTGCTGGACCCCAGGAAGAGTAGCTGCTGCCTTGGCAGCAGCTAATGGGGATCCTTAATAAATAAAAAATAAAATAAAAAATGGAAGGCATGGTGCATCAGGTGACATTAAGAGATGCCATGACAGACTGTGCTGTGATGCAAAAATAAAAACAATTGCATAAAACATTGGCACATGCAGATTCAGAGCATCACGTCTGACACCATGCAAGATCTCACATCTTGCCAGAACTTAGCGATGCATCCATATAATTATTTGTGTGTGCAACTGAAAAATAACTAAATTCACATTGAGAGCTTCACTGTACAGCACATTGCAGACAGAAGCAAAGGAAGGACCAGGGTGTGGTGGGTAAGAAGTTAGAGTTGGGAGGGGGCAGTAGCTCTTACCATCATAGTAGGCCACATACGAAGCTATGTAATGTTACATCCAAAGAGAGACGGGTGCATTAGGACAGAAGAAAGAATGCATTATGTTGCCCACATGGTTTACCAGCTATCTTGTCCTGTCTAACTACCCAACTAGCAAACACTTACTGGACCACTGGTGGCAAAGAGGCAGCTCACCACTGCAGGCAAGCCCATATTGAACCGCTGTCTCCAACCAATATGGTGGCAGCCCAACAGCATACCGAACGTGACTATCCGGCAGTCGGCATGCCATTGTTAGTAGTGTTGGCTACCACCAGGTTAGTAGTACCAGCTACCGCTATCGTCCCTACCCTGCTATGGGCCACCGTGCATGTGGGTCCTTTCTAACTGGTGTGATGATGAGAGAGAGGTCCTGAGGTGGTCCTACCTTCCTGATCAGGTCCTGGTCCTCGATCATGCCCAGATCCCTGCCTGCTGCCTGGGCTATCCTCTTCCCTGCTACCAGGTTCCCCACCATGATGGAGGCTGGACCCACACCCACTAAAAAGAGAAAGAGGGAGGGAGAGAGAGAGAGAGAGAGAGAGAGATGCATATTCACAATCAAATAAATTCCCTAGCTCAAAAGTCATGGCCACTGTAAGCCAATCAGTTTCCAAGTTTTGCTGTTGATGAGCCTACTGTACCTGGCTGTTTCTGCCGTGGTTTGGGGAGGTTGGTGACACAGGTATGGGGGCACATGAGGATGTTACAGGGGTGCAGGTTGCCGTCCAGGAAGTGCTGCTTGGTCTCGAAGATGTGGATCCCTCCCAGGTGGGTCTTGGGTAACGTGTTGGCAGGCACCAGAGCTAGGCAGTACAAACCCACCTGGTGAATACTGTCAATGGCCTGGACAGTGGACACACACAACACCCCTCAGTTAGACAACTTCTCTAATCAAGTGTTTAGAGTACATTGAAAACTGTGGTGTTCGTTTTGGAATGTACCAAGAAAGAGGTGTTTGTAGGGGGGTTAGCTACCTGCAGTACTCGGCTCATCCACTGGAAGCTGTCCTCCTCACTGGCATCTGGCCTCTGCTCTGCCACAATCACTATCCTCTCATCATAGAACACAGTCACAGAGAACACCGCAATCCTGACACACACATGCATACACGCGGACACACACACACACACACACACACACACACAATTAGAATGTCTTCTCTGCAAGGATCCATAGTCACACACATAGATATTGACCTCTCCCTCCATATACTGAATATGTACATCCACACATAAAGCAGAGAACACTGCAATTCCTACACACACAAAACCACTCTGATAACAAGCATTTTCACAGCTTGAGATGATCTTTTCTGCAAGGAGCCAATACACCCCCACATCCCACACAGAAATATGCTGTATACATCCACTCATATTACGAGCGCGCTATGGGCCTGCAGTGCTCACTAACAACCACCAGATGACAGTCGTGATACACAACAAAGCTCAATGCCATAGAGACATATAGAGATTGCAATGTTGTATCTGTGCCATTATGGAGTCTGTGACAGCATGGGCAGCGCCATTGAGGCTATCTCCAAGTAGTCCATTTTCTTTTGATTTTTTGAAAAAAAGTGTAAAGCTAATATTGGTGACTTACCGCCACGCCACCTGCAGAGCTGGAGTCTTGAACCAAATGTTGTGTGTCAATCATTTATTGTGGCCACTAGATTATGTAATATAGCTTAAAGCCATTTTACAAACTAGGCAAACCAATTTGAAGAAGACACATTTTGATCATTGGCTGATCGCTCCCAACCCATAGGAATCCCCACCCAGTTGACCACTTTAAACTGGTGGAAGCCCTCAATGGCAATGTCCATGCAAAAACAGGTTATTTCCAAGTAATGATCTCTATACATCTCTATGCGCAATCCCCAATACACCTGACTCACAGCAAGCACACACAACACAGACCTCATCCACTGTCCATTCAAATACATGCTGACATATGCGCACACACACACAAACGCATGCACACATACAGTACTCACCTCCCACGATACACAGTCTTGACAGGCTCCACGGCCAGTGCTGTGGCCACCAAGTCATCAGCGTTGTGTCTCCTACCACTCACCATCAGCAGGCCTTCGTTCTTCCCCACCACAAACATCAGACTGCCCTGTAGAGCGGTTAGACACAGCATTCATTACACACATATGGACGCACGCACACGGTCACACAAGACAGTCCTACTTACGGGTCCTACGAAGCCTAGGAGTCCAGATCTCACAAAGGGGATGTCTCCAATAGGAGCACCAAGTGCATTGACAGGAATCACCTATAACAGACAGACAAAAACTGATGTTTTTAACATTTTCTAATATAAAACGTGTTGGTAAGCATATTGAATGTTCAGAGTTTGGTGTGTCTGACCAGGTCCTGACCAGGTGTCTGACCAGGTTCCCCTTTACAGCACGTAACACATAAGGGGGAATTGAATGGTTGTGGGTCTGTACCTCAAAGGTGTTCTTGGTGACTCCTGGTAGGCCATAGTACATGTTGCCTCCAGCACGAGAGTTCACCACGATCTCCCCTATCTCATCTGTCTTACACAGCTGAGGAGGCCCTTCAGGCTTCACTATACACATCAGAGCTATAGACACAGAGACAGAGTCAGGCTTCACTATACACATCAGAGATATAGACATAGAGACAGAGTCAGCTGCACAGATAAATACATGTACAGGAATAATAACACACATACAATTACAGAAACCGATTTACACATAAAGAATCAAATATAATAATAATAATAATAATAATAATATATGCCATTTAGCAGACACTTTTATCCAAAGTGACTTACAGTCATGCGTGCATACATTTTACATATGGGTGGCCCCGGGAATAAACACATTCATATATAAAAATGGACCTGCAGTGGAGGTGATTTGAAATCAAACTCTCGTGATTAGTTACTATAGCCCTGCCTGAGACTTGAATGCCAATTACACACATACACATGGATTTCACTCCTGATATTACTCTCAAGTGAGATCCCCCATTTCTCTCTCTCTTCTATACTGTGCATCCCCCCTCCTCACCTCCAGGCATCACATGACCCACATCCTGCACGGTGAGGGCAGAGTTTTTGTCCTCCGTGTTGACCCTGATGACCCCGTGACTCAGACCCCCCATGGAGAGGATGGCCCTGGCTGGGAGGGGCGTCCCTGGCACCCCCGGCCTGCACACAGAGAGGTACAGGAGAGGACAGGGATTTTACTCAAAAATGTACACACACTGCCGAAAGACGGTCCTTCTAACCATACATAAATTAAATTATTGAAGGTACATTATGTAACTTTGATTTCATTAAATTTTTCCAGAGGCAACTCAGGGTACTACAAACACATTTGGCCAAGTAGCAAAACAAAACACAAACTGTTATTTTTGCTAAGAAGACCCATTCAGCCCATCCTACCTGCGGATGGCTACCGTCATGGCCTCAGGGGAGGTGGCACAGGGACAGATGACCTCTGGCTTCAGCCCGTGGATCTGGAACACACTGAGGAAGGCATCGCAGGACGACACCGACCCTTAGGGAGAGACACAGACAGCGAGAGAGACTCAACAACACTGACATCTCAAAACATTGACCATTTTTGGATGGTATCCATTCAAATCATACAGGGCTTTGTTTATCACTTGCAATTGTCCTATTGCATGTTGGATGTTTGCTGTCTGTCAGCCACACTGACTGCCTGGAAGGTGCAATCCCACTAAGCATTTACCGACGGCAATGTTATTTGGTCCTGTCCGGACCAAATCTGAACCAATCATAGACGTCTATGTTTGGTTCAGATTTGGGCTAGAGCGGACCAAATCTGAAACAATTATAGACGTCTATGTTTGGGCCAAATAAAGGCCGGTCCGGACCGGACCAAATCTGAACCAAACATAGACGTCTATGTTTCACAAGTTTGGAGAGCACAGTACAGCACATTACATTACAGTACAGAAAATAAAAGTACAGTAGAGTACAATATAGTACAGTACTGTAAAGTATAGTGTACTGTATTGTACCCTACTTTACTCTAATGTACTATCCTCTATTGAACTAAACTATCCTCTACTGTAGTCTACTCTACCAAATAAACATTTTCCTGTCCTGTACCGTACCGTACTCTACTGTGCTCTACTGTACTAAACTGTGCCGTACTGTACTGTGATGTTCAAACTTGTGAAACATAGCCCAAAACGTCTATTATTCGTTCAGTTTTGGATCTGGTCCGCACCTACCAAATGTGTCCTTGTTTGGGGGTGTAGGACATTAGAATAATACCCAGCATGCTTTGCGATTATTTTATTTTGTACATTTACATTTTGGTCAGAGCCACCTACAGTCAATGCATTCAATTTAGGTAGATAAACAACAATATATCAAAGTCATAACAAGAAAATAAAAAAATCTGTGACCGTTACTGAGAATGGTATTGTAGTTGAAGTGGTCCGTTGGTTTATTCGGTAAGTTGTATTAGTTTGAACGTCATTGCTGCCAGGTATAAAGCTTTTGAAAAATCTAACATAAGTGCATGTTACAGATGAGAGTAATAATACATATTCTGTTGGCTCCTCTTCCCTATAGTAAGATGCTTGAACAATTATTATTGTGATACAATGCTTACTTCATTGAGAATGTATGTGCAGTTGAAAATTGGCCATAGAATCAATGTCTGAAAAAAACGTATTTTTAACGTCTGTAAATTAAGTATTTTCAATGTCCGGAAAATACATATTTTTGACGGCCGGAAAATACGTCTTCTCACCTTTCATTCAGCACCTACAATGCACCCGATTTCAACATCCGGAAAATAAGTATTTTCGACATCTGGAAAATACGTATTTTCACCTTTCATTCAGCACCTAATATGCACCTGACATCAACGTCAGGAAAAGACGTCTAAAATACTTTTCAACTTCATTTTGCTTACTGGGATGCAGACCAGTTCCATGCATGTCTGGCATCTGTAGTTCCAGTGTGGATTCCACACAGACTACATTTCCCTGCATTGACTACATTTCACACTCACAGGGGTTGGCTCCATCAGCGACAATGAGCATGCGCAGCGATGCCAGGCTGGTGTCCCTCTGTTCCCTGTGTGCCATCATGGCCCAGTGCAGGTCACGACACTTCACCAAGGCAACGCGCGCTACGGGGGGACAGGAGGGACAAATGAGTACATGAAAATCAGTGTTCTCATGGTCACACAGAGAGTGGTTGTGGAGGTGTAACTACCTTTGTGTATGTGGACCCTTTGAACCCAGGAGAGAGGGCAAGCCTTCATCACAGCGTAGGGCACACTGATAGTGTGGATCCTGTTCATTACACTCTAAAAGAACAACAAAATACAACGTATTAAACGGAAATGCATATGATTTAAATAACTGAAGTAACTATTATCCCCCCATCCACAAACACTCACCGTGAGAACTCCATGCCACAGGCCCATGTCCTTTTTAAAGTCCAGAACGTTCACTAGTGTCTCACCTAAAAACAGAACCATATAGATAAGTCCCTATGAGAAGCATCCTTCAAACACTTGTTCCCTGTGTATCATCTTCATAAAGACGCCATAGACTTACTCTCGCGATAGAGTATGCCTCTCTCATATAGTGTAGTTACTCACCCTCACAGTAGTTGCAGGCCTGAGTCAGTGCTTGGCAATGGGTCAACATGGCCACCTTAGACACAGCCACACCCATCACTGTGCCCTCCTTACTTGCCTTGTACTAGGGGGAGAGAAAACACAATCACATAGAATTGGATGAGAAGTACACACACGTACCCCCACACACACACACACACGCACACACACACACCTCTATGTATGCAGGGTCAGTGTTAGCTGTAGGGATGTGGGGCTGCCAGTCCTTGCCAGGTTTGGTGAGATACTTGGAGTCTGTCACCACCCACTTTAGCTGAGGCCAGCCTATAAAAGACAGTCAATATCATACGTCAACCAATCAACTTAATCAAAAAGAGACTCATAGAGAAAGAGAAAAAGTATCACATTTGGATCTCTAGAGAAAATGGTTGTGTTTGAGATCAACCACATTGCAGTCTTCGACTGGATGCCTACAAATCACCTGGCTTCCTAAATAACTACTCATTATTATTTGTAGATCAGTCAGTGTACTCAGTCGGTGACCAGTGACTAAAAAACATTGATGCTCTGTAATACGGCCAGTAGGAGAGACAGCTCCTGACCTTTGAACTGTAGTATCTCTCCGGTGGGTGTCTTGGGGAGTCCCTTCAGACAGATCTCACTGGTCAGAGCCAGAGTTACACCACAGCTGCCCAGCAGGAAGCCCACCTGACTACTGCCTGCATCCTGGTGGAACAACAATGGATATGGAGTCAATCACAGAGCAGATGTAACAGTCAATGTGGGCTTGAAAAAGTTCCATTGACATGTTCCTAACCTTGCGAGACAGAGGTACCTCTATAGGGACAGGGATGACCTCAGCCAGCAGGCAGCCAAAGAAGGCCACCCAGAACATCCCAGGGTCACTGTTAGGGTACACTAGAGCCACCTACAGGAAATAAAATAAAAAATCAAGTTGATGTATGGACCTTAATGCAGAAATCAGCAGTAAAAACAATAACAAAGCGTTCCCCCACCCGTTTCGGTAAAAACCCAGTTTCGGTAAAAACCCTGTTTCGGTAAAAAGCTGAGGGAAGGGGCTGAATAATTTTTTACTTTTATTTAACCTTTATTTTAACAGGGAAGACATATTGAGACCTAGGTCTCTTTTATTCTGCTGCAGAGGATAAGTTCATTAGAGTTACCAGCCTCAGAAATTGCAGCCCAAATAAATGAGTGTGCAAAGCTGTCATCAAAGCAAAGGGTGGCTACTTTGAAGAATCTAAAATATATAATATATTTTGATTTTTTAAACACTTTTTTGGTTACTACATGATTCCATATGTTTTGATGCCTTCACTATTATTCTACAAGGTAGAAAATAGTAAAAATATAGAAAAACCATTGAAACCTTTGACTGGTACTGTATATATATATATATATACACACACAACTGCGGAAAAAAATAATAGACCACTGCAAAATTATCAGTTTCTCTGGTTTTACTATTTATAGGTATGTGTTTGGGTAAAAATAACATTTTTGTTTTATTCTATAAACTACTGACAACATTTCTCCCAAATTCCAAATAAAAATATTGTCATTTAGAGCATTTATTTGCAGAAAATGACAACTGGTCAAAATAACAAATAAAAACAGATAAAACTACATCTTATGGAACAATGCAGACTGTGAAGAGACACACAAAAACGCATACACCCTACACACACGTACATTGTAATGTTGTAATATTGTTGTATTGGGGTATTATACATTTTGTCGTAGAGTAGTGGTGTAATAATGTGTTGTATGATGTACTGTTTTATTATGGGTTTTTTTGTGATGTAATTGCCTTTATCTTGTTTGGACCCCAGGAAGAGTAATTGGCAGCAGCTTCATAAATACAAAAAAATACATGGGGTTGTTTTGACGCTATATCATTACGAGAGAAGTAGAAGTAGTGTGAGTCGATGTGTCTCACCCTGTCCCCAGGCTTGAGGACCTGCTCGTTCTTGGGTCCCAGTTTGTTGAGGAGGGTGTAGGCCAGCTTCACACTGCGGCTCCACAGTTTCCCTGATGGAGGGAGAAGAGGAAGAGGTAGGAGGGAGGAAGGAGGGAGGGCGTGCATCGTAAATAACAGTGTCACTCAATCTCATACTTCTTCTCTCATAACCCTCCATTACCTAGATTACTCTATCCACACCATGACTACAGTATAGCACAACAATGTAATAAATAAAGTATCTAGGGCCTTGTCCCTACCTAAGTAGAGTTATAGATGTTAAAAATCATATGTTCTCTAACTGTAGGCAATCGTATAACTATGGAAAAGACAGGGGTATCTAAGTCAGGTTGTAGTAGCAGTATAAAATCTCTGTGTGGTCCTAGTCTCTCACCGTGGGTCAGTGTGGTTAGGGATTTGACACTGTGACATACCGTAGGTCAGTGTGGTTTGGGGTCTGAGACTGTGAAATACCGTAGGTCAGTGTGGTTAGGGGTTTGAGACTGTTACGTAACATAGGTCAGTGTGTACACGGGTTTGAGACTGTGACGTACTGTAGGTCAGTGTATACAGGGGTTTGAGACTGTGACGTACCTTAGGTCAGTGTACAGGGCTTTGTGTGTGGGCCTAGTTTCTTACCGTAGGTCAGTGTACAGGGCTTTGTGTGTGGGCCTAGTTTCTTACCGTAGGTCAGTGTGTACAGGGGTTTGCCAGTGATGTCCAGGGCGGTGAGGGCGGGGCTCTTGCCTTGTGTGGCCCCCCAGCGAGACAGGGCAGCCTGGAGGGCTGGAGGCCAGTTACTGACCACCCCCAGGGGCTCCCCCTTCACTGGGATGATCTGACGGCCCTCTGGCCGCGGTGTGTTGGGGTCCGGCTGGGGCACTGGAGGAGGAGAGGGGGGGGAGGGGCAGAATAAACCAGGTAGCACCTTTGAGGTTGGTACAGAGGGGTGGAAATGAAAACATTGTAGGTAAAATGTACAGAGATATAGTCTGGTCTCAGATCTGTTTGTGCTGTCTTGGGAGTTAGCAAGACAGCACAAACAGATCTGAGACCAGGCTAAGAGAGATCCATTGATTGAAGAATGAATGGTGGCTCACCCTCTACAATCTCTTCCTGGTCATCCACGAAGAACTCACTGAGGGGGGGCCTCTTGGGCCTCTTCAAGGTATTGAGCAGCTGCTGGATCTTAGTGGACACCCTGCTGTTGACCGGGACACCTAGGGGGGGGGGGGGGGGGGGGGGTCCGATAGACACTGTCACACACACATACATACACACACACTCTCCCTGCCCCAATATATGAAGGGAAGTCTTGATTGACTTCACACACAACACTGGCTTTCCTTATTTCGCTAGCCTATTTCTCGACTCGCAGTCTGCTAGTATGAAAACCAGCAGGCAAAGGGCTAACTCTACACCAGGACTGGGAGGGTTGGAGTGAGGTAAAAGGGAATAAGAATCATTGGTTTCATAATAGGAAAACACATGAGGATTCAGTCGGTTTCAGAGGATGGTTCTGGTTTCACAGAAATACTACTCTCCCTAATCATACAGCATAGAGGGTAAGAACAAGGCACAAAGGCCCAAACAGTACACAGACGTATATATAACACCACTCGTTCATGAGTTTCTCATAGGGAATGTGTTACCTCTTCTGTTACCTATTGCCAGTCAAAATAACACGTGACAGGGTGGAAAAAGACCAGAAGAAAACAAAACAACATGGTTTGGTTAATGATATGGTCCAGGCAGAAATCAACATGTTATTCAAGAAAAACATTATTACTTTAAAAAATAATATATATATTCAATGGAAATGCAAAAGTGTATGAAGATTCGACAAGGACACACACTCACGCGGTCATAATCTCACATATACACACCCACGCACAGACTTCCGTACTCCTACATACACCCATACACACACACACACACACACACGGTGACCCTAACAAAGAGGCTGTTCTTACCGTCGGCTGTCTCCATCATGCTGGAGCGACTCTGTCCGCGGCTCATCCCCCGGACCACGGGAGGGTTGTTGGGCCTGTCCACCTGAGAGGAGCCCCTGGCCTGGGGGGCTGCCGCCAACACGTCTGGGGGGGGTCCGCTGTTCTCTGAAAGGCCTGGAAGAAAGACAGGTTCATTTTATCTGCTCAGTTTATCTTATATAGGGTTACATGCCAAGGCGTTCTAAAGTGTTGTGGTCATAAGGACATATCTTACCGATGCGTGCTTGAGCCAGCATGTCAGCTATGGCTGGATGCTGTGGCTGTGACTGTGGCTGGTACTGTGGCTGGTACTGTGGCTGGTACTGGGGCTGGTATTGGGGCTGGTATTGGGGCTTGTACTGGGGCTGGGCTTGGGGCTGGGGCTGGGCTTGGGGCTGGGGCTTGCCCTCTCCATGGGACAGAGTGGAGGAGGCGGAAGAAGCAGAAGAGGATGTGGAGGAGCCCTGGACAGAGCGGTTGATCCAGGAGTCAGGGCTCTGCAGATTGGGGGGCTGCAGCAGAGAGGAAGGGGTAGGAGCCCCCAAACCAGCACCCACTGACGACTGTCTCAACAGAGCACCCTCATCCTCTGAACCTGACGATGAGTCTGAGATAGGAGAGAGGAAGTAAGAGATGGAGAGAATTAGAAAGAGAGTGTGTGGCATTAGGATTCAACCCTACATCACTAACAATAAAGCTTACGTAGGCTGTTCCTGAGGAAATAGAAGCAGTCAGGCTGATTTGAGGGGGTCAGTCCTACGCTACCTGGTGGGGTGCAGTTGTTGATGGGCGACTGGACGTAGGTGGAGCGGCGTTTGGTGGGCATGGGCAGTGCCATCTTCTCCTCCTTGTGTTTGGCCAACGCAGCCTGCACCGCCTCTGTGTGGATATCTGGGACAACGACAGAGAGAGAGAGAGAGAGAGACAGAGACAGAGACAGAGACAGAGAGAGAGAGAGAGAGAGAGAGAGAGAGAGAGAGAGAGAGAGAGAGAGAGAGAGAGAGAGAGAGAGAGACAGAGAGACAGAGAGAGACAGACAGAGTGAGAGAGAGAGAGACGGAGAGAGAGAGAGACAGAGAGAGAGAGAGAGAGAGAGAGAGAGAGAGAGAGACAGAGAGAGGCAGAGAGAGAGAGAGAGAGAGAGACAGAGAGAGGCAGAGAGAGAGAGAGAGAGACAGAGAGAGAGAGAGAGAGACAGAGAGAGAGAGAGACAGAGACAGAGACAGAGACAGAGACAGAGAGAGAGAGAGAGAGAGAGAGAGACAGAGACAGAGACAGAGACAGAGAAAGCAGAATAAATTACAATTTTGAATTTTGATGATTGCAAAGGATAGGGAATAGGGATCGAGAGGAAGATGCAGATGATCCTTGAGATCCTTGAACATGAGAGCACCCAAGGTAAACATGAGTTTTTCTGGAAAAGTATTTCTGAAATCTAAGTGAAACGGAGATCTTCAAAATAATAATCATTATTCCATAGATACTGATGCATAAAGACAATCACTGTTCTGTCAACACAGTTAAAGCTGAAGCGATGTTTGAATTTCAACCATCAGAGGAGAAGAGATGGCAGTTAGGTCCTGCTGTAATAGGAAACCACTGTCTGTGTGCTGGAGAGAGAGGGGCTATTATCATGCTCACCCATCCTTGTACACACACACACACACACACACACACACACACACACACACACTCGCACAAAGGCACGCATCAGATGATGACCAGAAGACACACAGGCACTACTGATACATTTCCTCATGACACAATCAGAATATATAAGAAAATCTACATAAACCATCAAACACAACACATTGCATAACCAACACTATAGAATGTCATAAGATATCATTTGATTCTACTAAAAATAGACTGCTATTCTGTTTCCATTCTTCCTAAAGCTGCATGCGCAATCATTAATCGCCATAGAAACATGAGAGAATGACCATCACACATGTCTGAGAGGCTGAGAGGCATCTCCATGGCAATAGGCGAGGTTGCCGGGTGTTAAGATGTTAAAGTTGTTCGGTGTCTCTCCTCTACCTCTCCGGCCCTACACGGCAACCAACAATGAACAGCAAAGACTGCCAGACGCCATCAGAGCCCACACACATACACACTTGCAGCACCTCAGCCTAGCAACACACACATACCCTACACACATCCATGCTACATACAAATGTTCGCCATGCGTCTGGATCTAAACATCATCATATCGCTGACAGCTAATTCTCAATCTCTCAGTCCTCTTGCGCACATCCTCCCTGTCTTCCTTTCTCTGTAGCTCTACTCCCTCCTCCATCTCTCTCTCTTTCTTCCCTTCTCTCTCAACGAGACTGAGGTGTCAGCAGGTTCTTCATTAGGACTGCTGGAGTGTTACTGACTGACCCATAGCTGCTCTTCCCTGACCCCTCACTCTATCCCTCCTCTCTATCCATTTTCATAAAAATGTTAAAGATGTATATAAAAGGGTTCCCTCCTCTCTATCCCTTCTCCATACTCCTCTCCATCCTCCCTCCACCCCTCCTCTCCATCCTCTCCATCCCTCCTCTCCATCCCCCAACCTCCCTCCACCCCTCTCTCCATCCCTCCTCTCCACCCCTCCTCTCCATCCTCTCCATACCTCCTCTCCATACCTCCTCTCCACCCCTCCTCTCCATCCCTCCTCTCCACCCCTCCTCTCCACCCCTCCTCTCCATCCCTCCTCTCCATCCATTTCACGCCTCTCCACCCCTCCATCCCTCCTCTCCACCCCTCCTCTCCATCCCTCCTCTACATCCCTCCTCTCCATCCATTTTCATCAAAATGTTAAGGATGTATATAAAAGGGTTCCCTCCTCTCCATCCCTCCTCTCCATCCCTCTCTTATTCCCTCTCAGTCCTGCTCCATTTCTCTGTGTTATTCCTCTGTAATAGAACAGTGTTTGCCCTCAAATGTCAATCCTCTTCAAAGTCCTTCTCCATTATCCCTGCATCCTATTTGTTTCCACCTGGCAACCAGCTACCATTCCCTTTCCCTCTTTCCCAATCCTTTCCCTGAATCCAGTCGGACTTCCAGCAAGATCCCCTGAGATTCCTCCACACATCAAATGGAACTTGAAGAAAACATTTTGCTGTTCTCTCTGGTCAGCCGTCCTATTAGCTCAAACAGATCCCACACAGTAGTGGTCCTTCAGTCCCCAAAACTCCACTCCACAATGAAGCATGGGAGCGAGCGTGCATGTGTGTACATGCATGTGTATCTCACGTGAGAGGCGAGACCAGTCTGATGCAGAGGCTGACCAAACAGGGAGGGGAGGAGAGAGAAATGTAAGGAGAGAGAAATGCTAGAGTATGAAGCTGCCTAGAGGGAGGGCACATTTACACTGTGTGCACCTCTAGTAACAGAAGGAGAGAGAGAAAGAGAGAGAGAGAGGACAGAAAGACTCTTATAGGCTTCTCTACAATCCTTTGTTCTTTCATGTCTTCTCAACGATACATTCTAACACTCCTTCCCTGCACTCTATAGAATCTACAATAGAATTCTATGGTGCAGAGTTCCTCCTTCCTGTATAGTATTCCCCCTGCTCTCTCCACAGCCCAGCACATTGCCAAGCCATGACATTACTCCCCAATCACAATGTGAGGGATCTGGCCTCTTGGGCTCCCCTTTAGAGGGGATGCTGTTGCACACTGTAGGGACTTCTCTTTCTCCACAACCCAACAGGACACACACTCACACTCCAACACAAAGCAGCGTTGCCCTTTCATTGGTCTATTTGAGACTATTACAGGATTCTGCTTCAAACCAGATTGGACCATAAAATGACTATATTAATGGTTATATTGACTGAAATGAAATAAATAATGAGAATAGATCAAACTTAACATGAACCAAAAACTCAACATTATTGACTATGACTGGATTTCCTTAGGTGACCTAAAGTTGTTGCCCACCTGATCGGTAGCGGTCATCCCTGGTCCCTCCGTTGCGGTGCGGTCGTCGGGAGCGACGATCACGGTACCGGGAGGAGGAGCTGGGGGGAGGAGCCTGGGTGTGAACGTTGGCATGGGTGCCAGAGGCGTTGCTAGGACCAGGAGCCTGGGCGTCATAGGCAGGGGGGGGAGCTTCCACTGGGGAGTACAAAATAATAAAGTAGATGACTAGGAGACAAAAGAACAGTACACAAAGTACAGTGCCTTGCAAAAGTATTCATCCTCCTTGGTGTTTTTCCTATTTTGTTGCATTACAACCTGTAATTTAAATGGATTTTTATTTGGATTTCATATAATGGACCAATTGGTGAAGTGAAATTAAAAGAATTCTAAAAAATAAATAACGGAAAAGTGGTGCGTGCATATGTATTCAACCCCTTTGCTATGAAGCCCCTAAATAAGATCCTGTGCAACCAATTACCTTCAGAAGTCACATAATTAGTTAAATAAAGTCCACCTGTGTGCAATCTAAGTGTCACATGATCTGTCACATGATCTCAGTATATATACACACCTGTTCTGAAAGGCCCCAGAGTCTGCAATACCACTAAGCAAGGGGCACCACCAAGCAAGCGGCACCATGATGACCAAGGAGCTCTCCAAACAGGTCAGGGACCACAAGTTGTGGAGAAGTACAGATCAGGGTTGGGTTAAAAAAATATATCCGAAACTTTGAACATCCCACGGGGCACCATTAAATCCATTATTAAAAAATTGAAAGAATATGGCACCACAACAAACCTGCCAAGAGAGGGCCGCCCACCAAAACTCACGGACCAGGCAAGGAGGGCATTAATCAGAGAGGCAACAAAGAGACCAAAGATAACCCTGAAGGAGCTGCAAAGCTCCACAGCGGAGATTGGAGTATCTGTCCATAGGACCACTTTAAGCTGTACACTCCACAGAGCAGGGCTTTACGGAAGAGTGGCCAGAAAAAAAGCCATTGCTTAAAGAAAAAAATAAAGAAAACACATTTGGTGTTCGCCAAAAGGCATATGGGAGACTCCCCAAACATATGGAAGAAGGTACTCTGGTCAGATGAGACTAAAATTGAGCTTTTTGGCCATCAAGGAAAACGTTATGTCTGGCGCAAACCCAACACCTCTCATCACCCCGAGAACACCATCCCCATTTTTCATCGGCAGGGACTGGGAAACTGGTCAGAATTGAAGGAATGATGGATGGCGCTAAATACAGGGAAATTCTTACATTTGACATTTTTTAGTCATTTAGTACACGCTCTTATCCAGAGCGACTTACAGGAGCAATTAGGGTTAAGTGCCTTGCTCAAGGGCACAGACAGATTTTTCACCTAGTCGGCTCGGGGATTAGAACGAGCGACCTTTCGGTTACTGGCACTACCCTCTTAACCACTAAGCTACCTGCCGCCCCGGGAAACCTGTTTTAGTCTTCCAGAGATTTGAGACTGGGACGGAGGTTCACCTTCCACCAGGACAATGACCCTAAGCATACTGCTAAAGCAACACTTGAGTGTGGTTTAGGCCCTCCTGTAGCTCACTTGGTAGAGCATGACGCTTGCAATGCCAGGGTTGTGGGTTCGATTCCCACGGGGGGCCAGTATGAAAAATGTATGCACTCACTAACTGTAAGTCGCTCTGGATAAGATGTCATTAGGATCTACATGTGCTTTTACAACATACTGCATTTTCATCAAAATGTTAAAGATGTATATAAAAGGGTTCCGTCTAACCATAATAGAACATCATGACTTGGGTCATTTTGGAAAGGGACAGAACATTGTAAACAAAGGAGCAGCTTTGCTCATTGCCGAGAAATGCTGTCTGAAATTGCTAATATTTTCAGACAATGAACCATAAAGGAAGTGGCCGAATAA